ACGTATTTATATCTTTAGTAAATACTTTCACTTTGGATGGTAACACTTAAGTATGAACTACAAGTAATTTTGGTAGCTTATTGAAACCTAAAGAAGGCATTTGCCTTGTTGAAACAATTTTGCACACAACCGTTTATTTTGGGCATTTTAGTGGTAAATTATTGCAGCTGTCCTTTGTAATTCATGCATGATAAAAACAGAGATGGCCAACCCAACCCCACTGTACATTCAAGCACTGATACTGTACAGTCCCCCCAAAAAAGTATTATTGGATTTTCCTTTGCTACAATTTTAAACACTAGACGAAATGCTTTGATATGTTCACCAGTGAATCATTATAAGTTGGTACGCCTGCTGGCCATATCAGCAACAGCTAGAGATGGGGGTAGAATTGGGGGAAGAAATCATCCTTGTATAGCATACTAGATACTTCAATATAACAAGAAATTCATTAAGCTATATGAAAGTATGTCTTGTGCTGGGTAGAAGCAAGCCACTGACTGACGATTACAAAAACACTTGAGATATACATTAAATGGAAATGTTTCGGAACATCATAACTGAGATGAAGACCTCAAAACTGACATTTCACCACTACTGTACATCCTTTAATTAACAGTTTCATTTATACTGAGTTTCACAATATGCTTTCTCATGATGTTCAAGATGTCTGATTTGTGAAGTAACTAAGCAAATAATACTTTATATTAGAGTGAACAGCTACAGCAATACAGTACTATACAATATATCAGTATATGGGATCTGCCATGTTACTGATATGTAAATTGCATTGGTTTAACACAGAAATAAGGTTTCAAATCAAGGGAGTTGCAGGCACCAGAACCCCCTGCCCACCTATAGTAAGAAAGTTGTGGTTGTGAGTTTTAGTGTGGCACCAGTTGTTTCATGGCGCCTAACCCATTATGATACTGTCGGTTCGCTCACCCAGTTAGCCGTTGTATCTCAACGTTACGTGTACTGTACCTTTGTTGTGAAGGCCAATGATAGCAACTCTCACATCTTGCGATGTCTCCCTGATAATTCCTCGCTCCATTGGATGTAAAATCCCTTTGATGACTGGCATGGCGTTGGTGTCCACTTACAACATCCACTCCGAGTCATGTAATACAGTAGATGATCTGAAGGATTCACATCATTCAAAAACATATACTCATTCATGCATAAAGGTCATGGATGTACAGCTACCAATTGTTCAGAAACAGGTCGAGTATCTGGAAAGCCTCGAATCACATTTACCTCAGAGCTAGGTAATGATACTTTTTGCGGACCACATTTGAACACTGATAATGTACTAACTGTACATTAGAACACACAAGTGCTGTACATAACACTGATATTAACTGTACATTAGAACACACAAGTGCTGTACATAACACTGATATTAACTGTACATTAGAACACACAAGTGCTGTACATAACACTGATATTAACTGTACATTAGAACACACAAGTGCTGTACATAACACTGATATTAACTGTACATTAGAACACACAAGTGCTGTACATAACACTGATATTAACTGTACATTAGAACACACAAGTGCTGTACATAACACTGATATTAACTGTACATTAGAACACACAAGTGTTGTACATAACACTGATATTAACTGTACATTAGAACACACAAGTGCTGTACATAATACTGATATTAACTGTACATTAGAACACACAAGTGCTGTACATAACACTGATATTAACTGTACATTAGAACATAAGTGTTGTACATAACACTGATATTAACTGTACATTAGAACACACAAGTGTTGTACATAACACTGATATTAACTGTACATTAGAACACACAAGTGCTGTACATAACACTGATATTAACTGTACATTAGAACACACAAGTGTTGTACATAACACTGATATTAACTGTACATTAGAACATAAGTGCTGTACATTCAAACCCTAATGCTGTACATTTAATCACCGATACTGTACATTCAAACTGATGCTGTACATTTGAACATTTGCTGCTGTACATCTAAACACAGATGCTGTTCATTAGAATGCTGTACATTCAAGCACTGATGCTGTACATTTTATCACTAATGGTGTATCTCAAACGGGTGCTGTACATTTAATCACTAATGCTGTGCATTGAAGCACTGATGCTGTACATTTAATCACTAATGCTGTGCATTCAAGCACTGATGCTGTACATTCAAGCAATGATGCTGTACATTTAATCACTAATGCTGTGCGTTCAAGCACTGATGCTGTATATTTAATCACTATTGCTGTATCTCAAATGAATGCTGTACATTTAATCACTAATGCTGTGCATTCAAGCAATGATGCTATACATCGAAATACTGATGTTTTTCTTTAGAACACCGATGCTGTGCATTCAAGCACTAATGCTGTACATTTAATCACTAATGCTGTACATTCAAACTGAAGCTGTACATTTAATCACTAATGCTGTACGGTCAAACTGATGCTGTACATTTAATCACTAATGCTGCATGTTCAAACTGATGCTGTACATTTAATCACTAATGCTGTACGTTCAAACTGATGCTGTACATTTAATCACTAATGCTGCACGTTCAAACAGATGCTGTACATTGAATCACTAATGCTGTACGTTCACACTGATGCTGTACATTTAATCTCTAATGCTGTACGTTCAAACTGAAGCTGTACATTTAATCACTAATGCTGCACGTTCAAACTGATGCTGTACATTTAATCACTAATGCTGTACGTTCAAACTGAAGCTGTACATTTAATCACTAATGCTGTACGTTAAAACTGAAGCTGTACATTTAATCTCTAATGCTGTACGTTCAAACTGAAGCTGTACATTTAATCACTAATGCTGCACGTTCAAACTGAAGCTGTACATTAATCACTAATACTGCACATTCAAACTGATGCTGTACGTTCAAACTGAAGCTGTACATTTAATCACTAATGCTGCATGTTCAAACTGATGCTGTACATTTAATCTCTAATGCTGTCCGTTCAAACTGATGCTGTACATTTAATCACTAATGCTGCACGTTCAAACTGATGCTGTACATTTAATCTAATGCTGTCCGTTCAAACTGATGCTGTACATTTAATCACTAATGCTGTACGTTCAAACTAAAGCTGTACATTTAATCTCTAATGCTGTACGTTCAAACTGAAGCTGTACATTTAATCTCTAATGCTGTACGTTCAAACTGAAGCTGTACATTTAATCTCTAATGCTGTACGTTCAAACTGAAGCTGTACATTTAATCTCTAATGCTGTACGTTCAAACGGATGCTGTACATTTAATCACTGATGCTGTCTGTTCAAACGGATGCTGTACATTTAATCACTAATGCTGTACGTTCAAACGGATGCTGTACATTTAATCACTGATGCTGTACGTTCAAACGGATGCTGTACATTTAATCACTAATGCTGTACGTTCAAACTGAAGCTGTACATTTAATCTCTAATGCTGTACGTTCAAACGGATGCTGTACATTTAATCACTAATGCTGTACATTTAATCACTAATGCTGTACATTTAATCACTAATGCTGTACATTTAATCACTAATGCTGTACGTTCAAACGGATGCTGTACATTTAATCACTAATGCTGTATGTTCAAACGGATGCTGTACATTTAATCACTAATGCTGTACGTTCAAACGGATGCTGTACATTTAATCACTAATGCTGCACGTTCAAACTGATGCTGTACATTTAATCGCTAATGCTGTGAAGCTAGATTTAGTAAGTGTTGAGAGCTGTGTATGTGTAAGGGTGTGGTGAGACAGTACAGTAGAAGGAAAGGGTTGTGGTTGGGTTGGTTAGTGCAGGATGAGGTTATCCATGGTAGCACAGCGGTCACAGTTGGACGGGCTTGGTGATTGTCTACAACCAGCACTTCCTCCTTCACCCTGGGCTTGCCACAACCTCAATACTCCCATCGTGTTCTCCTGGTGTTCGCTGTTCAACGTCTTCATCCGTTACTAGTTATAATAATTCTGTACCATGGAATGTTAGAGACGTTTGTGGCATTCGAGATAAAAAATGATGGGAAAGTGGTTGGTGTGAGGATAATCTTTTATCTGAAATTGACACATAATTAATTAAATTCAGACTTCCACTCGTATTTCGTTTTGTATAGTTGCAGCTTTGTTATAAAGTCATCATCTAAAAGCGTCATTTGAGATTGGTATCCCCGCATCCCCTGAGCAACGCTCTTGTGCATTACGCGGAAGACCCGACACCAGCACCCTTATCCACTACCTCCTAAGATGTCCCCACACACAACGCTTCCGTGACGCCTGCTGGACCACGACCCCCTGACGATGATCCTCCCCATACTGGCCAGATATTTTGTAAATAACATTGATTGTGTGTTAAAGGAATATCCTTCCTTCCTTAGGCTTTAGTAAGCCCCTTTATAATATTTATACTGTATATACTTGTCACACTTGCCAGATGCTTCTGGTGTCATTGTATAGGGGTACCTTGTGACAGCACTAGGATCCCGCTTCCTCTATCAAGGAATAAACAATTGAAATTGAAAATTGAAGCGTCATTTGGTCATTGTGGTACAGTTATAGTTCGACCATTCTTTTGGTGGCGTTCAGGTTTTATTTATAATTTTATCTCAGTTTTTGTGTCCCAGTGTCTGTAATATATTGCGTGATTTGTGGAACGTTTTAGTATCCGTATAAATTATGTTTCTCATTAATTAGTTTAATGGTGGTAAGATATATAGTATCAGTAAGTTATCTTACATCTGACACTTGCGTGGCTCAGCCGCTGTCATGCAACGAGTTACCAACTAGAGGATTTCTATAGATTTATGTAGCACTCTTATGTTGATACTTGCCCAGTGTAAATTATTTTAAGATTGACAAGTAATATTGTTGTGTGTATATTAATTTTCTCTGTGTGTGTTATATATTTTATGGAGTATAGTATAATGGATTATTAAATGGTGAAGGCAAGCTTGTGGCTTGCCGTGTCTCCCTGCTGTCAGTTGGCTGCAAAGTGCTGCAAGTGTGAGCAGTACTATGCTGTGCTGCTGTTGGCCACCACACACCTCTGGCATGTTTGTGTGCTGCCTTAACCTTGTTGAGACAAAGGAATACATCTTTAGTGTGTGTTGATTCAAGTACTGTATAGACTTTACACGTATATCTCGTCTTATTGAACAAAAATGTGTCGTGTTGAAATGGATACTGTTTTGAAGTGACCTCTATCCTTCCTTCCAGAATGCGAATGATCAAATCGCCACCAGTTGAGAATGAGTCACGTTTTCACTCTCATCACCTGATCCTTAGCTACATATTGTAGTATTCACCAGGAAAATGATTGAATATACTGTATACGTAAAACATTTTGTGTGGGCGGAGGAGGTGGTGGGTTGTGATGGCGCAGTGTGTGGTGGGCAGACCAGGTCAGAGCTGTTATTGATTGCCCTATTACAGTGCCCTCTGTCCCTGGTGTGCCATGACTAGGCCTTTGCGCTGTGGGGGGGACATTTCCGCGCAGATTATCCCTTGGGTGTGCGTGTTATTTGCACATTATATATATATATATATATATATATATATATATATATATATATATATATATATATATATATATATATATATATATGTGTGTGTGCGCGTGTGTGCGCAAATAAATCACTGTAGGTGCGCGTGATCCAGGTATTTGCTGATAACCACAAGGAAAAAGAAAACACGAAGTTCCCAAACACTTTCGTGTAATTCACATCTTCAGGGGTGAGTACAAGTCCACAGAGGTCAAGTATAGGTAATGACCTTACTAATCTTTACAAAAGCACCGCAGCGGTCGGTAGTCAGGTCAGATGGAAAACTGACCCAACCTTCTCACCTGGTTACAAATCTTCTTAATTACAAAATTGTCCAATTTATACATACCGTTACTCAAATTCATGTTAACGGATTCGGTATGTTTAATGAGACTAAATTCTATGATGTTCCTACTGTCAATTGAATTACAAGGTAATATTGAGGAGGCATTATCCCAGTCAATACAATGCTTGTTATCCCTCAAATGAACGAACAGAGCATTGGATTCCTGGCCTGTCCTAACACTGTATTTATGTTGTTTAAGTCTAGTTGAAAGATCTTTACCTTTTTGGCCTAAGTAAAACCTATTACATTCCATGCAAGGGACTTTATAAATGCAGCCATTTGTATTATTAGGGGAGTTCTAGATTAACATCTGTTTAACAGAGCATGAGTTTTTAGATGCCTCATTGACGTTCCAGGTTTTTAGTTGTAAAGGAATTTGTGAGAAATTTTTGTGAAATGGTAATACTAGGAGATTCTTATGGTCATGGGTGGGCTTGGGATCAGTTCTATAAAAAGATTTCTTAGTAATGTTCAGGCATTTGTCTATGAAAGATCTAGGGTATTTAAGGTTTGAGCCAATATTACAGATATATTTATGTTCCTCATCAATTAATTCCGGGCTGCAATTTCTCAAAGCACGTAAAAACATTGTTGAAAATACTGACTGTTTGACTCTATTGTGGTGGGCAGAATAATAATGAATGTATGAACACACATTAGTAGGTTTAATTTAAATACTGAACTTAAAGGTGTTACCTATTCTGTGGATCAGACAGTCTAGGAAAGGCAATTTACAGTCATGCTCTAATTCCACAGTGAATTTGATCGAGGGGGCTAAGTTGTTAAGTTGTGGCAGGAACACTTTTAGGTTCTCATTACATGGCCAGAGACATAATACATCATCTACATATCTAAACCAGACTGCTGAAGGTGGTAAGATATTACTTAATAGTTTCTTTTCAAAGAATTCCATATATAGGTTGCTTAATACAGGTGAGAGTGGATTACCCATTGCCATGCCAAATTTTTGAGCATAATATTCTCCATTGAATTCAAATTAACAATCCAAAATACATAGTTTGATGAGTTCGATGAGGTCATCTTTCGAGACAGGCAATGAAATATTATCCAGGGAATCTATGAGGAACTCCAGTAAGTCATCAACTGGGACCTTTGTAAAGAGTGATGTTACATCAAAACTGACCAGTTTAAAATCATAATTAATGTGTAAGTTATTGAGTTTATCGACCAGATCCATATTATTTGTAACGGTATGTACTAATTGGACAATTTTGTAATTAAGAAGATTTGTAACCAGGTGAGAAGGTTGGGTCAGTTTTCCCTCTGACCTGACTACAGACCACTGCCATGCTTTTGTAATGATTAGTAAGGTCATTACCTATACTTGACCTCTGTGGACTTGATCTCACCCTCCTCTGTATATATATATATATAACTTGTTCTGAACTTCTACTTAGTTTGTACTCACCCCTGAAGATGTGAATTACACGAAAGCGCTTGGGATCTTCGTGTTTTCTTCTTTCCTTGTGGTTATCAGCATATATATATATATATATATATATATATATATATATATATATATATATATATATATATATATATATATATATATATATATATATAATAACGATATATAATAATGTATGTACTGGGTGGGACTAGGGAACACTTACCGGCTAGGCCACAAGGACACTAAAAGCAGTTCTAGACTCTGTTATATTTCACACAAAGCCTGTTCATCGAGCTGATGGCGCCGTGAACCTGGGAGCCCGTTGATTATATGTTCAAAGTCCGCGTGTTATATGGACTAAACATGAAGTATATATATGTACCTCGCGTTTCATACCAGCTGGATTCGGTAAAATGCTACTGACACCACATAAGAGGCACGGGCAGTTTCCCAATGAGGTTCACGGCGCCATCAGCTCGATGAACAGGCTTTGTGTGAAATATAACAGTCTAGAACTGCTTTTAGTGTCCTTGTGGCCTAGCCGGTAAGCGTTCCCTAGTCCCACCCAGTAGGTCGAGGGTTCGATTCCTTGCTGGTGAGGTCGTTGATTATATATATATATATATATATATATATATATATATATATATATATATATATATATATATATATATATATATATATATATATATATATATATATATACACCTAGACCCCGACTTACGACGGGGTTAGGGACTCAAATCTACAATGAAATACAGTACAGTAAAAGTAATGAATAATGATGAATGGATACAGTACAGTGAAAGTAATAAATAATAAGGAATGGATACAGTGTGACTGAGCACTTAACCTTTAATGTAGTCAGCTGAATGCATGGGGCCCCCATAATTTTCTAATTATACATGGAGACTACATTAACTGGAAACGTTTCGGTATAGAAAATGCGTGTGTCATTTAAAAAAAAAAAAAAAAAATTTATCTATATCTGAGGCGGTCGTAAGTCCCGACGGTCGTAAGTCCACGTAGTCGTAAGTCGGGGTCTAGGTGTATATATATATATATATATATATTTCATTAGCCCAATAAAGCATGCGGACTTCTACATACAATCAACACCTCAACCCACCAGGATTCGAACCCACGGCCCACGAGCCCATGACTGTGACCGGGGAACGCTAGCCGCTGGACCACCAGGATACTAAAAGCAGTCCTAGACTGTTATATTTCACACAAAGCCTGTTCAACGAGCTTATGGCGCCATGAACCTCTAATGGGGACTACCCGTATCACGTAGGTGGTCAGAGTAACATTTTACCAAATCCGGCTTCGAAACACAAGGATCCATATATATTTCATTAGCCCAATAAAGCACGCGGACTTCTACATACAATCAACACCTCAACCCGCCAGGATTCGAACCCACAGCCCACGAGCCCATGACTGTGACCGGGGAACGCTAACCGCTGGACCACCAGGATACTAAAAGCAGTCCTAGACTCTGTTATATTTCACACAAAGCCTGTTGAACGAGCTTATGGCGCCGTGAACCTCTAATGGGGACTACCCGTATCACGTAGGTGGTCAGAGTAACGTTTTACCAAATCCGGCTTCGAAACACGAGGATCCATATATATTTCATTAACCCAATAAAGCACGCGGACTTCTACATACAATCAACACCTCAACCCGCCAGGCTTTTAGTATCCTGCTGATCCAGCGGTTAGCGTTCCCCGGTCACAGTCATGGGCTCGTGGGCCGAGAACAAATTCTGGCTTGAATGTCATGTACACTAATACTGACACGTTCTTTGATAAGAGAGAGGAGTTTGAAACACTACTGAAGGTACACCAACTGGATATTGTAGGAGTTGTGGAACTGTTGTACAAGAACAGGCTAATCGACCCAGAGGAATGCGAGTTCAGTATTGCTGGATATGACTCATTTACGAACCTTTCTCAAGAAACTTGCAAGAGGGATGTGGTTATCTATGATAGGCAAGACCTTAGAGCCAGCCAGGCGAGGGTACAGGGAGAGGATGTTTTTGAAGAGTTCAAGTGGTGTAAAATTAAACTAAAGGGAAGGGTCTTACTTATTGTTGGGTTTATCTACAGATCCCCAAACTGTGGCCTCCTAAATCAAAGGAACTTAAGAGCCTTAATAGACAATGCAGCGATACTCACCCTAGCCACCTCCTTATCATGGGGGACTTTAACTATGGCGACATTGACTGGAGAAACGAGTTCACCCCAAATGACTTGAATAACCCTGCTACTCTTTTTGTAGAAACTCTGAGAGATAATTTTCTGTTCCTACATGTTAGAGACCTGACACATTACAGAGGGGAGCAAACACCCAAGCCACTAGACCTCATCATAACAAACGAGGAGGGTATGGTGGCCAAACTGGAACACCTTGCCCCAGTTGGCACCAGTCACCATATAGTGTTGTCATTCAGAATTAATTGTTACCTAGTTCAAGATAAGGCCAGGCCAAGGTGCAAATATTACAAGGGAAATTACAATGGGATGAGGGAAGAGATGAGGGGTATCCACTGGCCTGACTCATTAAGGCACAAGAACGCAGACACTACGCTGAATATCATAACTAGTAAAATGACCCATTTGATCGATAAATATATACCCAAGACCAAACCCAGTGCCTGTAGGAATACGAGGGGATCCTTACACATGAACCATGCGGCTGTCGACAAGGTTAAGAAGAAAACCCAGAAATTCAAGACGTGGGTTGGGTCAAATGATGAGCAGGACAGGAGGATGTATGCTAGAGCCAGAAACCAAGCAAAGATAGAGTGTAGGAGGGCTGAAAAGGAGTTCCAGAGGCTGGTTGCAAGCTAGGTCAAGTCAAACCCAAAGGCCTTTTACGGCTATGCAAAATCGAAATTAAAAACGCTAGTAGGAGTATCAGACCTGAGGCTTGAAGATGGTAGTTACGCAGATTCTGACCAGGATAAAGCTGAGGCATTGAACAGCTTTTTTTCCTCAGTGTTCACAAGAGAGGATGCGATTAACTTTCCTGCATTTGAGGACAGACGGTTCGACAGCATTGACCTACATTGTGTTCACAGAAGAGGGTATTAGAAATAAACTGTCAAAGAGTCCCGGCCCTGACATGGTGCATCCTAGAGTGCTAAGAGAGTTGTGCAACGAGCTTGCCGAGCTTCTGAAGATCCTGTTTTGTAAATGCCTGGATGAACAAAAGGTCCCTAGTGAATGGAAAGTGGATTATGTGAGTCCTCTCTTCAAGAAGGGCTATCGTCACTCCACGAACAACTATAGACCGGTGAGCCTGACCAGCATATGTAAATTACTTGAGAGTATTATCTGAGATGCCGCGATGGAACATCTACGAAACAACCTTGTAAAGAATTGCCAACTGTTTTATGCTGGGGCGCTCCTGCTTAACACAATTGCTCAAGATATTGGATATTTGGACCCATATTCTCGAACGGGATGGTAATATCGACAATATTTACCTAGATTTTGCCAAGGCTTTCGACAGTGTACCCCACAAAAGGCTGAAAATCAAACTGGAAGGGTATGGAATTCTGGAAAATGACTTAGCGTGAATAGAAGACTTTCTACATGACCGCAAAGCAGTGTGTGGTGATTAATGGCACGAAATTATCATCTGTACCTGTCACAAGCGGGGTACCACAGGGCAGTGTATTGGGCCTGCTGTTGTTTGTTTGTTTCATAAATGACATGCCTGACGTTGTACACTCCTCCATACAAATGTTTGCCGATGACGCCAAGTTATTTCGGGAAATCAAGAACCAAGCTGACTGTGAAGACCTGCAGAACGACCTCTGTGGGCTCCAAGGATGGTTGAAGAAATGGCTGCTGAGATTCAATGTCACGAAGTGTAAGAGGATGCACCTGGGGCTTACTAACTGTAAGGAGGCGTATCATATGTCCCAACAAGATGAAGAAACTGCACTATTTGAGACTGAATGTGAGAAGGACCTAGGTGTGTATGTTGACAATGAGTTGAAGTTCTCGGGCCATTGCGAGAAGAAGGTAAACCAGGCAAATAAATTATTGAGTCTTATAAGAAGGTCGTTCAGATATCTAGACTGTCCGTCCCTCATAACGATCTCCAAGAGTGAAGTGCTTTCCCATCTGGAGTACTGTCACCCCGTCTGTTCCCCGAGATATGCTAGGGACTGTCAGTTGGTTGAAAATGTTCAAAGGAGAGCCACCAGACTGGTGCCTACACTGCGGCACCTAAGCTACCCTGAGAGATGGAGAGCCTGAACTTGCCTAGCTTATACTACAGACGGGCAAGGGGTGACCTAATTGAGGTGTATAAGCATCTTAGGGGGCACTACTCAGTCGAGTGTCCTTACTTGGAGCTGGTGGGCGCTCGCCCTACAAGGGGTCACAGCTCAAGATTGAAGAAGCCGCAAGTCCAGAAAACTGTGACGGCAAGCTTTTTCAGAGTGAGAGTTGTGAACTTTTGGAACAATCTACCAGAAAGTGTTGTGATGGCACCGAGTGTGAGCTCTTTCAAGACAAGACTTGACCAACACTGGAGCAGGTTCAGGTACATGTTGGAGCCAGTGCATGCCCAATACTTGCCAACAGTGCGTAACAGAGACATGACCGATCGCCCAAGCAACTAACGAGCCGATCAGTGGTGAAGAGGATAAAAGTAAAAGAAACCAGGGCTGTGGAGTCGAAGACAAAACCTTCGACTCCGACTCCTCAAATTTTTATGCTTCCGACTCCGACTCCTTGGCCTATTTGTAACAACTATTTCTACCATCCTAATTGTAATTTGTATGTTGTAACCTGCGTAGGTAAAAAGTAAAACACCGTGGCTATACTGCTACAGCTTTATTAATGATCTTGACGATATTTAAGAACTACAAAAAGATGATAGGCTTGACTTTCAAAGTTTCAATCAAAAGAAAAATAAATTTATTAAGAATTCAAGATATTAACTAGAAAACACCATTTACATGTATATCTAAAAGTTCGATCTCAGCATATGAATTTTGTTTAAGCTCATAATCTGATGTGGATCTAAATGATGATCCTACAATTCCTTTTAAAGTAAAGTTATATATTTATGTACATTAAAGAAATGAATACCTTATTAAGGAAAATGGATAAACCTTACATGATTAAGTTATTAAATTAAATTTGCCTTAATCTCACCAAAAACAGGTTGTAGCTAATTGTTTTGTAGCTGAGAGCCTCTGTGCAGTTTTCAACGAAACAAAATTTGATATAATTCAAAATTTCAAATGGTAAAGAAGAGACTATCGTCCAAAATTATAGTGCTATACTGTGCCTGCTACAATAAATTCATAATAATGCTTATAAAATGGAAATAAATTCTTTTAATAATTTAAGAAAATTAGTGGGATCAGTGGAATCACTGCAATGAATATGCCTGAGTTCATATATTTGTTCTTAGGAACAGAATAGCTTCAGTCAGATCTTCCTTCATGGAAGCCCTTAAATCTGATCTGATTATTTTCAGTGCAGAAAACAGTCTTTCTACACTGACCTGAGTGGGTGGGATTGCTGTCACAGCTCTAGCTACATCTTTTACAATCTCTGGGTAAGCAGGTATGGCTTCTTCCACTGTCACTTTTGAAGACCGGTCAAATTTCTCCACTTCCATCAGTGCACCAAAGAAATCTTGCTGAAATCTCGTATTTTTAATGTCTACCGCTGCTGCGGTCGGAGTCGGAGTCTGGACAATTTTACCGACTCCGACTCCACAAGCCGAAATTTCCTCCGACTCCTCGACTCCGACTCCGACTCCACAGCCCTGAAAGAAACGAGACGTGACCGATAGCCCAAGCGGCTAACGAGCCGATCAGTGGTGAAGAGGATAAAAGTAAAAGTAATATCCTGTATATAGCTGCTCCTGTATTTGGCTGCTGTAGCATAGTTTGAGAGGATTTGCAAAGTCTATTAGAATACAGTATATGGTCTTCTTTATGAGTTTAGCAGAATATTGTTTTCACCGTTTTGGGTGGTTGATGGTAGCTACTGTATTGGTAGTACTGTACTGTATGTGAATAACTTTTGTTGTTTCAGTAATGTCCAACTGGAAGAGTTCAGTACAGTTTTAAGGTGTGGTGTGGGATGGTGTTTTATCAGTGTACAGTTTGTTGGTATTGCTTCAGTCTTCTCACACTGTTGCCATATGGTGTTTGTGAGAACTTGATGGGGGAAGAGAGTAGACACGTCAAGGAAATAGCTAAATGCTACAGCCATGTCTATTCATTATATATACAATACATGTACAGTCATCCCTTGGTTATAGCGCACTTGGTTATCGCGATTTTCATTATCACACCTCCATCAAAATCTGCACGCCTGCCGTTATAGTGCATTTTTCAGGCCGAGAATTTGGTTGTCACGCATTTGCCTCCAGGTGTAATGTTAACCCCTTGCTTAATGTAGATCTATTGAGGATAAAATCTTTTACTTACAAATTGACAATAATACATTTTCTGTAATCAGACATATCTAGTTGCCTCAACAATTGCAACCCCAGTCGCAATTGAGGTTGCAATTTCAAATTCTGTGTCATTACTAAGGAATAACGAAGTCTCTGATGCACTCTAAGATTGAGAGAAAACGGAGGACTCAGGCATCCTGAAGCGAGAGAAAACGGACTCCTATGACTGGGGACTCAAATAAAGAAAGCATAGCTACATGTTTTGTGGACTACAGTATTGAGCGTACCCTTTTCATCACTTTGTAATAAACCTAGCCATGCCTATGTGTGTTTATGATATTTACCATAACATTATATATATATTTAGTGGGTCTAAATGGTCGTAAAATGGGAAACTTGGGGTTGGGTCTTGGGTGCCTGGAACCAATTAGAATAAATCCCATAGGTTCTGTACTCTCGTTAACGCGTTTTTCGTTATCACGCACTCAGCGCAGTCCCAATTAGGCGTGATAACCAAGGGATGACTGTATAGGGATTTGAGAAATGTCCTATTGGGAATGATTGGCATAAAAACAAAGTAATTCTCCTCATCTCCTCGTAAGAATATTTTGGTAATGTTTCTGGCTGGCTATTACATTTTTTCTTGTATGCTTTTATCTTATGTATTTAATAGGTACATATACAGGTACTTACGACGGGGTTAGGGACCGACATCCAGGTCGTAAGTCGGAAATGCTTAAATAACACATAGAAAATCGAAAATTTGGATCTCTTTTTCTTCTCAGCACCACAAAACACCCACTTTTAAGCTTACCAGCCATTTTAAAGTGAATTACCGATGAAAATTTTATCTGTGTACTGACTTGGGGACTCAAAAATACATAATTTGACCACATTTTGGTGCAACTGAGGCAGGTCGTAAGTGCGGGTGGACGTAAGTCGAGTCGGTCGTAAGTCGGAGAGTACCTGTATATTGTGCATGTAATGTCAAAAAAAAAATATTGTATGCATAACAATTGTGGTTAATGATGTTTGAATAAATTTTAGTTGAGAAGGTAAATGAAAGATAAATTGAAGAAGGAAGTGCAGTACTATTTAATGATCCGTTTTGATGAACCAGTCTCCAGAGTGCTGCTACATGTTCGAGTGCACCAGATAAATAAAACAAAATAAACTCAAGGAATCAAGTGTAGCTAAAAAATGATGTCTCAAGGTGTTGGCATAAATGTGATGGATCGTCTACGTGTAAATTCACCTGACCGAAGAAATGCTTGGAAGGAGGAGAAGGAACGCAAATTGGCCAAGCTCAAACAGCTACGAGCAGAGAGAGAGAAGAGGAGACAAGAGCAGCTAGCTAAAGAGGTGCTGTGCACATTTTGTACAATATAAGAAATAGATTTGTTTTATATTACCTGATGTGAAATATGAAAAAGACAGTACAGTAAGTTGTATGGTATTATGAGGTACTTCAAGGGTTCATAGGTGGAACATCTGTGAACAGCCTTGCCGTTCCCCTATCGGCCTATTTACTCACCATTGAAGGTGACATCCTTGATAACTTGTATCATGGCTGGGTGATCATCATATTTGATTCCGAGTGACAGCAAAGTATGGTAGTAGTAGTGTAAGGACGACTTTTATAGACCTTTGAACCCCCTAGAGTAGCTAACCTTAAAATCTCAGGACATTGTTTAAACTACAGGTAGCTTGTAAATTTGGCCGTGAGCTGTAGTAGGAAAGCAATCAACAATATTGTCTTACTTAAAAAATATTTTTTTTACATTGTTATTATTTTTAGTTTTAAACAGCAGTTGACAAGATCTCTTTGAGTGAAATATACCCATACTCAAACATTTCTAAAAGTAAACTAATAGATAATGCAGTTCTCTTTGATGATATTCCTCAGTGGTGTTTACTTCTTGTTAGTATTTTATTCATTTCTTTTTCTTTTTACTTGCAGGCCCAGGAAGCAGCAGCACGAGCCAGCAATGCACCACGTAATGACCAGGACTTGGACAAGATGCTCTCCGACCTTGGAGTGGCGCCCTTGTCAGGTAACAAGTTTTATAGCTATGTCTCCTGTGTGTTTTGAGGTGTATTTAGATAGAAGCAGAATTTTTCATGCTAGTATGATGTACAGTACGGTACTCACTCAAATATACTGTACTAGCTAAATCTAAGCTCAGCGTTTCAATGCAAAAAATTTCTCTTAACTGGATAAATACTAACACATGTACAGTTGCCAGCAAAAGCTCTCCCACAGCTGTGGGAGAGCTTTTGCTGGCAACTGTGGCATGTAACTATAACACAAGAGTAAGAGCCATAATAACATGAGAATTACGCAGAGATTATATTAACCAGATATGTTATTATGACCCCATTTATTGTGCAGAGTTAGTGTATCCAGAACCTTGTAAGGCTGAACAATATGAAAATAAAATTGCAATGTCTCTTTTGATATGGTTAGTAATACAGTACAAAATATTGATAGTTATTTTAACTATTTTGTCTTTACGTGATAAAGTACAGTGGTCCCTCGGTTAACGAACACATTTTGTTCCAGAAGGTCATTCGTTAACCGAAATTTTTTTTAACCGAAACCATTGTTTCAATTGGATTTTGGGTACAGTAAAAGTCCAAAAACTCGTTAACCGAAACCATTGTTTCAATGGGTTTTGGGGTAATTGGTTCCAGCTCACCGAAAATTGCCTAAATTCAACAAAAAAAGGTAGAAAAGTAAACTTACTTTGAGGTGTGTATGTAGAAGGCTCCTGGATGATGATGATGATGATGGGAATTAGAATGGGGGTGGAGGAGAAGAGAAGGCATTGGGGTGGAAGAGAAGTTACCCCAAGGTGCCATTTCACCCATAAAATTTTAGTTCTCTTGGTGTAATTCAAGATTATGTTCTTTAAATCATCACTGCACTGCATTATATATTGTCAATATGTAAAATAAATTTCAAAATGACCAATAATTTGCTTGCAAACACAGAAAAATAGCATTTAGTTGAAGAGAGTCTCAAGCAAGATGTTACCTCCACTGAAAAGACACAAAGACTGACGCCTGTATGGTGTGTTGGCAGGCTGGATGGCATGTTCATTAATTGTTAAAATTACTAAAAAATTTAATATTAAACTTTTAAAATTATTGAATAGTATAAACTTCTTGATATTTACTAAAATGGTAAGGAATTTAAGCCCTAGAACCGATCACTGTACTGGCGGACTAATACTACAGCTGGTGGACCGCCAAATGCAAGCGAAAACATGTTCAGGTCAGCTCGTAAGGAACTCGTCAATCGAGGGATTGCTCGTTAACCGAAGTTAAGAATCTTGTGGAAGGTAACTCGTTAACCGAAATCTCGTTAACCGAGGCGCTCGTTAACCGAGGGGCCACTGTAACGTTATTCAATGTTAATAAATGGAACAATCAAAGTAGCCAACCACTAATGGCAAAGAAAAAAGAGATGGATTTGGAACGCCAACATATACGTGCGCATTTAAGGATAATGCGTCATTTTTCTTAAGAATATGTACAAAAGATTCACTATTGTTTATTACTGAATATGTATTTGATTGAATTAATGTTTATATTTGCGAAATGAACAATACATTTCATTAAAACGTTGAATATTAAAACACACAAGAGGATAAGAGACGACATTGTTTACACCCAATGTACTCAAGGAAACACAGCCATTTACCTTAAGAATACTGTATGTACAAAAGATTCACTATTGTTTATTACTCAATATGTATTTGATTGAATTAATGTTTATATATGTGAAATGAACAATGCAATTCATTAATAATACGTAGAATATTAAAACACACACGCGGGGACAAGACAGCATTGTTTTTGTGAGTGATGATGGTTCTACATAAGAAACTGAAGAAAATAAGACCCTGTTTGTAGCTGTAGTGAAATTAATTTAAAAAAATTGAATACCTGTAATGTATGTATGTTTTAAGTACTGTCATGCTATTTAATGTTAATAAATGGAACACTAGGAGTAGCTAACCTCTAATGGTAAAGAAATAGGCAAGACGATTGAGACCGCCAACGTACATGTGAAAACATATCGGCATTTCCCTACATATGAATATGAAAGCAACACTTATTTACTGTTCATATATGTTCTAAATATTTACGAATGTAAAACTAAAATTCTATTCACCAATGGTGGTAAAGTCTAAAACATAAGGACAGCCAATGAATATTGTGCGAGTTTTTACTCAGATGACGAAGTCATCAGGTTCAACTCTGGCTGAAGCTGTAGCTTTCCGTAAAGCTGTTGCTGAAACTGTTACTGAACCTGGAGTTGGTATTGAAGCTGCTTATGATGCAGAATTTGATGGTGTAGCTGAAGTTGATAGTCTAGGCCAGGGGTGGGCAATTATTTTTGATGGAGGGCCACTTCATGAATGGTGGCACACTTCGCGGGCCACAGGTTAACAGCGACGAGCCAGTGTTGCTGCTATGTCCACCCAACTTCCAAAATTGTCCTTTCTGTAATTAATAAGAATTTTTTTTTTCTGATTGCCAAATGCAGTGGCGGGCCACAGAAATAATTTGGCGGGCCAAATGTGGCCCGCGGGCTGCACTTTGCCCACCCCTGGTCTAGGCCTTCGAATAATGAAGCTGTCGAACGAACCTTGTACAGCTGCTTTCTTTTCTCATACATCTTTATGTAGAGGTCATTTGCGTGTATATTTAAATTTTAATGCTTTGTTCTGTTAATGGATCCACTTCAGAAAATATTTTCATTGCTTGCTCCATATAATATCCACAGACCTCTCGCCTTTTTCATATCGTTTTAGCACATCTAGTTTCTCGGCTAAGCTTAGACACTTTCTATTAGCTTTTGAAGCAACACTACCATCACTTGCTCTCTTGTTCATGTTGAATAGGAATGCAAAAATGCTGTAAGAAACCTGAAAGTTTTTCTCCAGTTCCCTTTCCAGATGCTTGAAAACAAAAGGCCCGCCAAGCTCTGACTGTTGTTTACCACTCATTAGCAAGGCAGCTCCTTTGCGCAAGGTGCTGTTAATTTTTTTTACAGTAATTTTAAAAAAAATTAAATTATATACAGTAATATATATCGGGATTTAGTTATTATTTATATGAAAATTTAATTAAAATTTATTTTTATTATATTTTGGTCATAAATATGAATGAATTAAGGACGTAAATTGAATTGGGTCCTAAATTAACTGTGGTTTTAAATATGTAAAGTTGTTGGTCGAACCGTTGTTATCGGAGGCTTTACTGTACAGTATAGTCTGCATTTACGCGGTCAATTGAACCCGTGGAGGCCCGCGTAAAACAAGAAACACGTAAATGAAATAACAGAACATATGGGATTAATTGAAATAGAGACTGGGCTGACCCCCCAAACTCCACTTTTTCCGACACAATACGTACGTTGTAGTCAAAATAACATCTTAATTTTATGATGGTATGCACACACAATTAATAATTAAGAGAAATATCAATAATATTAGGTTTTTTAACACTTACGTTAGTAGAAAAGCTGGGTCGGCACACGTGGCTGGCGGCTGGTTCCGAGGCAGAGGGCCGATTAGTTGCCCTCTGGTGAATCACTTTCACTACTCTCAGAGGTTTGCAGGGCCTCCCAGACAAACCCCTCAAAGTTCATATCCTCACTGTCACTGACTTTGGCTGGCTGTGGTTGTGGTGGGTTGCGGGCGAGGAAGTCCTCAATACAGTACTACGTTGACAACTAGCATTGATGTTGTCGAGATAGATCTGGATATACAGCTCCATAACTTTCGTCAGATGGTTATTAGACACTTCATACCGATGCTTGTCTGGGTCGTTGTCAAGGATGAGCTTAATTTTCTCCCCCAACTCGGATGATTTCCTTCATTATCATGGCTTGGTTCAGGTAATTCAAGGTTTTTCTCGGGTGGTGGGGCTCCCGCTGAAGCCATTGTGAGGGGAATAGCAGGCACAAGAGAGAACTGTATACACAGACTGAGAACAATGAGACAGGCCTGGCTAGGTCAGCGACTTCTACCCTCTGGTGGCAGGGCTCGTCATGTTACATTAGACCAATCACAGCTAGCGGCGGAGGGAATGCGTAGGTGGTAAGGATGAGTGGCCCAATCACAGTCCGATACGTCATATGACGTCAGCGATAACGTAAGAGCGGCCTAATGCGCACCACTCATCGCGCTGCTACCCGCGTATGGTCAAGAATGGAACGCGTGGGTAAAATATGGCACGGCGGTCTGGACCTCTCCAGCCGCTTGCAGCGTAAATGACCAAATTTACCGCGTAATTAAAGCATTTTCATTCTGGCAAGGCACCGCGTAAATGACCAAACGCGTAAACAAAAACCGCTTAAATCCAGACTATACTGTATTGGTAATACATATACAGTATATATATATATATATATATATATATATATATATATATATATATATATATATATATATATATATATATATATATATATATATATATATATATATATATATATATATATATATATATATATATATATATATATATATATATATATATATATATATATATATATATTTTTTTTTTTTTTTTTTTTTTGGGTGCTTGGTCAAAATATTGGTAATAACTAGTACATGTATTGTTTGTTTTTATGAAAACCTAACCTAACTTTGACTTTCTAGTGTGGTCTTAATACATTATTCCATATATTGAAAATTATATCTCAATAATGCATATTAATGAAACTGCAAACACTACCCATCAAAAACAATGCAATTTTTACTATAAACAATCTTTTTAAATAATATTACTTCAGTATCTGCAAAATCAGCTTTAAGAGCTCTACACACTGCCACTTGAATGAACTCAATTTCTTCTTTGGTTCAAAAGTTACGTCACTTTGAATTTTTTGAAACTTTGAGAGCGTTTATCTCGATAGTGATTTTTGGCGCTTGGCACCCCGTTGCTCTCGGCGTCTCGTATTACGGTATAGTGTGTCAAGGTAATCTTTCTCTCTTATTCAGTTCATAATGATGGTTCACTGTTTGGTTAGATTAGATTAATATTTTGTTTTTATATTTGCAATTTTTCATTTTATATTTCTTTCTATCATCTGAACTGAAATTTATAGTTAGTGATGTATATTAGTGCAGCTGCCTTCTTGAATAATTTTGATTTATGCAAGTGTGTGAATTTCAGAGGTGTTGTCAAGTATGTCAAGCATGTCCTCAGAGCCTGGAGCAGACCAAACAGGTTCTCCGGACAAGAGTCTGGAGGCTAATGCTACAGCTTCACCGCGCACACCAAGGCATGTACAGTATTCTTTACTCGTCCACACAGAAGATACATATTAATGTGTTCCTGTAGGTACTATATTGTAGTCAATTCCACGCCATAAATGTTAACATATTTTACCTTGATTACAAATATTTCTCTGTGATATCAATTCAATTTTTTTTTTAATGTTTGGCCTTTACTTTGGAACAAAAGCCAGTTTAATGCTAGTGATTGGTAGATAATGTGAGAACCTGTGATTGCTGTATATTATTATTGGAACAAAAATATTGCTGTCTGTTATGGAACTAACACCAATTGATTGGTGGTTAGTTGTATACTTTACAGCAGGCATGGGCAACCTTTCCTCATTCATGGGCCTCATTATGATTCAGGTATTTTTCTAACCTAACCTAAAAGTAATGTTAATATTATATTAGCGCGGACAGTGAAACAGTTATCATCACGTCCACCTTATGATATGTTCAGTTTACAATAACAGTCTTTTTCCCATTTATGAAACAAATCCACCATACGAAATTTTTTATTAAAATATTCATGTCGCTTGACATTTAACAGACGATGATTGAAGCAGTCTGTGAATACGCTGATTTTTCCTACAGTTACAGCATTTTTCTTATGAGACTCACCCACCAGAATAATGTCAATGTTAATCTTAGTGCATGAGGAATTACAATGAAACAACCTATATATAATAAAAATAAGGGAAGACCCTCGAAATCGAGGATGGCCGGCCCAAGGGTCACCTTGGTGTGAATTTTTGTAAGGTGCAGAAGCTGTCGCCAACTCAACAACAACACCCAAAGTTAACGAGCTACATGACCCAGTGTCAAGGAATAGTCCGAGAAGACCGGACAACTCACCAACTGCACTGGCTGACCTTTACCCCGGAATACGATCCGCAAATCGATTAATATCCAGGTTCCCAATTACTGCTGGATAGGCAGAGACAAATGGCATAAAGAAAAATGCCCATAGTTTCACCCTGCCCGAGGATCGAACTTGGGTCCGCTCGCTTGTGAAGCGAGAATGCTGATCATTACACCACAGGTCGCCACAACCTATAGGCACACACATTAAGACATGGTTCGAGCCGCATGCTCATGGGCCGCAGGTTGCCCATGCCTTCTGTACAATGTAGTATAGGTTGGTGGACTATCCCAGACTAACAAATTATATTTTGTTGGTTAATGAAGTGTAGCTAATGCAGTTTCTACATTTATATGGAAACAGTACAATAATCTATCTTCATAAGAGAGTTCTCAGTAAAGGTTATTCGTAATGGGGGACGTGTTTTTGTTTGATACAATTAATGGACTCGACCGGTAAGATTCAGTAATGGGAACTTTGTCCTCTAGATTGGTGGTTCTGACTACAGTACTGGGAGTGTAAAAAGAAAACATAAGGTACTTAATATCAGAGAAAAAGGGGAAATTCCCTAAACACTTGATACGGAAACTCTGACCAATCATAGTGGATGTTTGGCACTCAAATATACCTTATACTGGAGGACTATACTGTGAGGTGTGCATTTTAGGGTCGGGAAAGAAAGGAAATCCTCTCAATAAGGGACAGGGTTTGTACAAAATAGTCTGTTATTGGGAGGGTTTGCTGGAGTCACATTTATGTGATACAGCAGTAATAGATGGCTCAGGAAAGAATATTTTGTGATGGGCTGTAGTGTTGTACTAGTACCACAAAAGGAAGGGTTGGCTGGGGAGGCTACAAGGGTCCACACCACCTGGTGATGTCCATGACCTACATTAAGATAATGTAAAAATTGTGGACTGTAAAGTATATGAATTGTACAGTATGACTTGTTATTAGTTATATATTTTGACAAGTGGACATGAAAAACCTTTTACAGATCAATCATATATCTCGTCAAGCTTAACAATTTATCGGCAGTACAAAGAGTCCATCAAGTGTGAGGAAGACACTCTTGGTGATCACCAGCATCACCAGCATCACCAGTGCTGCTCCATCAAGTGCGTGGAAGACACTCTTGGTGATCACCAGCGCTACCCGACTAAGGATCAATACCTACAATAAGTTTCTGATTCACACATCAAATTTTTTGCCAAAATCCTTTTTGGAACTGGGGGGGTCCCAGCTATACCACTGGTAGTCAGGTTACAACAATACAGTAGGTTGTGGAATAAACAATAAACTAACCAAAATTTTCCTTACAGCAAGAAACCGCCCCAGCTGTCAGTAGTGAGCGTACAGGCGACCAACATTCCACCCCGTGAAACCGTGACATACACCAAGGGAGTTCAGACATCTGCTTCTGGTGACGGCCACGGTTAGTTTGGGAGAGTCACTCACGTTATCATTTGCTAGAGTACAAACAGCTAAATGGGCCATAATTTAGTGTACAGTAGTTTAAAAAATAGACTTATACGTTAGTCTACTGGACTGAGATGTAATATTGGGGGTTTTAGTTGGAGGGTCAGGCAAACAATGTAACATTAGATCAGAGTCCTCTTCAACTGTGTAGCATCATGGCATTATTATCTACTATTTTTCACTCATTTACTTCAGTTAACATTAATATAGATTATTGTATCATTTACATTCAAACATCAAGAGCATATCACTATCATGTAATTGACAAAATTTTAAGTTAATTAGATTGAGATATTAGATAATAGTTGTACAGTATGCCATTAGAGATGAACTAGTCATTAGCAAGTAACTTAAGCTGGTGTTAGTGGAATAGGCATTAGCCTTTTTTATTTTGTTAGTTTTGCAGGTTTATCCATTATTACTACATATAATTTTATTGCTGTATTAACTTTAACTTCAAACTGTCACTCATCGCCAAAGATAAGTGTGTGTGTGTCTTGAATTTATTTACTGTCAGGAAGGTAAAACTTGAATAATTTGGGGGACAATAGTTCCACAATATTGATAAAGATGATTAATATATTTGCATGACTCTTGGGGAGTCAGAAGGAAGAGTGTTGGGCTGCATGTCCCATATATAACTTGCCAAGGAATCAGAAATAAGAATGACAGTTTTGGGGGACTTGGGGATCTTTTGCAATATGGATGGATGGCTTCAGCTGAGGGATGGGTGTGGCTTCTAATAACTTTCTCAACAGGCATGACGATGCAACTTCAAAAAAAAAGTTAAAAGAAAAATGTATATGAAGCAGCATGGGGGTTTTATGTTTACTGTACTGTATGTACTTATAGTATATATATATATATTAATACATGTTGTAGGGCTGAGACAGTGGTTTAGTTCATACCTAGATGACTGTACTGAGGGAAAGAAGCAATGGTTCAATATCACTGGCAGTTTTTTCCTCACAGTTTCACTTTGTGCAACTCGTACAGTTTGTATCGCAGGCTTTTTATTTACTTTGTTGCAGCCGTTTTGAAAGTATTATTTTTAAAATGGTACTTGACTGTTGAGGGTGCATAGAATATATCCAGATGCTTTATGCTAAAGCTGCTACAGTATTGACACTTGTATAAAGACCATAAAGTGAAACCTATATATAACAGACTATATATAGAAAGGAAAATCCATTATATTGGGGGTCTGTTAGATGTGAAACTTCCATCCCATGAATTATAGAGAGATGAAAGTCTGTTACATTGAGGGCCCATTGGACGTTCAACCCCCATCAATCGGATTATATGGAGATAGACAACCCTTATATTAAGGTTTCACTGCTGTATGTAGACCCTGTGTCAGGTGCCATTAATTGCACATGTACACTAAAATCTCTCGGTTGTTTTTCTCATAATCTTCTCAAAGGTGCTGCTTCAGTAGCCTGCCAAAATATTATATTTTCCCATATACTCCTTGAAAACAGATTAATTGATCCAAAATTTTATTCATTATAGGATCAGAAATTTTAAATAAATATTCATAAATATGGACTTGTATTGATTTTAAATTTCACATCCAGAGTTCAGCTTTAAATCATAGAGTAAAGAGGATGATCCTTAATGTGTGGAAAAATGTTGTCATTATAGTTACTGTTACTTGTGATACTTTAGTCTAGAAAATGGGTCCCTGTTCTGTCTAGTTTGCTTTTATTTATCTGGAGTAAATTCTTGACCCTTTTCCCATCGAGTGAACCTATAATGTATTTTTTTTCTCTAATATATTCATGTTTTATAATATTTAGCATTACAGTTACTCAATACACAGTACCAGGGAACGGTGATAGTACCTTATTACGGCACTTTATCTGTCCTATGCTTGCTTTTTGCATGAACTTTGTAATTTCATGCATGCCTGAAAGAGCTGTGTATTATAGAATTAATTTGTTTTGGAATAAGTGTGATTGTCTTGTAAAAAAATTTGTCTAAGGATTAGTTTCAGTTATATTTTTCTTGGATGTAACAATACGATAGATACGACAGCCTTCAGTGAAGTGTCATAGTTAAGAATAAATTGCATTCTTTTTTTAGTTTTTCTCAAGAATTCCAAGTTTGGTTTTCCTTTAATGACTGTGACATTGGTAAAAAAAAAAGAATTAGGAGAATCACTTGCTGTTAATATAGTATGGAGGATTTTACATTTTATTCTTTGAGGAGGTTTTGATTTATAAATTATCATAGCAAAGTTTTGTCTCGTTAAAAAGTAACTCTGGGTCGTAAGAAGGGGGATAGTTTGGTCTAGTTTCTGCTCACCATTTATAGCTAAGGTTTTATGAAGTTGTCGTTACAGTTCATTTTTTAATCCACATTGATGAGTAGATTTGTATTAGTTTCTTGTCATTCTCAAAATACTGTAATGCCCAAAGTATTCCTGCCAAAATTAGGTGTACAATTGTCTCTCTGAGCAGTGATTAATTACCACAGGTTTGGTTTGCTTTAGCCATTAACTAAAGCTTCACTTTCTGGTGATTAACAAAATGCATGTGTAAAAATGGGCATTATTATTATTATTATTATTATTATTATTATTATTATTAACCTTCATTTGCCAGTTACTTATTTTGTTTATTATACTAATCTGTGAAATGCATGTCTGCCCACTTGCCTCACATTATTTCACCCTATTGTATTGGTGTGTATAGTACCTACCTCTCCACCTACCTCATGGACAGTGGCCTCAAGTGTTGAAGCATAATGTCATGGTTGCGTAAGTAATATTGTAATAGGAAAGTATTTACCATGTGTATTGTATTAACACTACAGTATATATTTTTTATAATTAAAATTAGTGCCAGCGAAGACATTCTAAAGGTTGAGTCACTTTCACCTGATGCTATGCTTGATCCTTGTGGGCTGGTAAACACCCATTAGAGAGAGGTGTTCAGTGATTCCTGTACTGTGCTGTGCCTGGAACACTTAAAGAATGGTGTTGGTGCTTGTTCCACTACACCTAAGAATGTTGTTGGTGCTTGTTCCACAACACTTAAGAATGGTGTTGGTGCTTGTTCCACAACACTTAAGAATGGTGTTGGTGCTTGTTCCACTACACCTAAGAATGGTGTTGGTGCTTGTTCCACAACACTTAGGAATGGTGTTGGTGCTTGTTCTACAACACTTAAGAATGTTATTGGTGCTTGTTCCACTACACCTAAGAATGGTGTTGGTGCTTGTTCCACAACACTTAAGAATGTTATTGGTGCTTGTTCCATAACACTTAAGAATGGTGTTGGTGCTTGTTCCACTACACCTAAGAATGGTGTTGGTGCTTGTTCCACAACACTTAAGAATGTTATTGGTGCTTGTTCCATAACACTTAAGAATGGTGTTGGTGCTTGTTCCATAACACTTAAGAATGGTGTTGGTGCTTGTTCCACAACACTTAAGAATGTTATTGGTGCTTGTTCCACAACACTTAAGAATGTTATTGGTGCTTGTTCCATAACACTTAAGAATGGTGTTGGTGCTTGTTCCATAACACTTAAGAATGTTATTGGTGCTTGTTCCACAACACCTAAGAATGTTATTGGTGCTTGTTCCACAACACTTAAGAATGTTATTGGTGCTTGCTCCATAACTTTTGCAGCCGTTTTCTCAGTCGCTCAGGAGTTAAGTGAACACTTTTGGGAGTTGGTTCCCACACATGAATGGGCTTATTAAACACCTTTCTGACTGGTGTGAGAGGCCTCTGAAACACTAGCTCCCGGACGACGGAGAAAACGACTGTTTGTCTCCTTCCCCACTCCCACCCCTACCCCACCTAACTTGGAACCTCATGGCTGTCTCTTGTTGATGATAAGTGATTTGTGTAAACTGTAAAGTAATACATTAAGGTAGTTAGAGAGAGCATGGTATAGTTGTTTCCTGACCTGATGATGGTGTAAATGTTATTACATATGTATGTGTATTATACTAATATTGTTTTATGTTTTAAGTGTTTCAATTGTAGTATCCAGAAATGGTTATTATTATTATTATTATCATTTTTAATATTTTGGGATTGTCTTGGATATCATCAATTACTTTTTTTTGTCTTGTTTATTAGGTAAAGAAAAAAGTATTAATTATATTTCCTTCCCCAAAGAAGATAAGCAAAGCCCTCATCTCCCTCTTCCAAGTGCGACCGTGCATGAGTACCCCAGCCACCCTCTACTTGGGTCTGGGTTGACAGTGTCACCGCTCCACATCATGCCACCCTTGCCCTGCAACATCAAGGGACTACCACTTTCCCTCCTGCCCTACCTAATCTCAAGATGATAGACAAATCCCTAATATTCTTCAATGGGAATCACTTCCCCCCCCTCCCTTACAATTACATTTGTTAATAAGTATAGCCTTGGCATTAGGTAGTTTAAGATCTTAGGGATTCAGGACAGTATCCACCTATTTTTCTTTCATTTCCCATTAAAATAAGATACTAATGAAAAGTCCACCCTGAGAATGGCCTGAGAGTGCAGTGGGAGCCTCACATCACATTTAAGAGATATTATTCTGTGCCTCTTTCTCTATGGGACCAAATTTGATCTGGTTTTTAAACTTTCTTACAATATTTTTTCCCCCATTTCATCTACTACTTCTCTGAGGTCCCAGTGATACATATGTCTCAAAAGACCCCATCCACTAACTTCTTGTTCCTCCCCTCCCCCCACAAAAGGTTACTATGAGGACTGGTGGAGGCCCCGCAAAGGTTGGTTGAATCCCCTTAGCCGCCTGATTCACTGGCCATGCCTTTGTCTAATGTCTTCCTTAGTTCTGCACAACTTGCCACTCCGTCGACACACACACACCCACACCCACCCACACCTTCTCTTACCTCATCTGAGAAACCCAAAGCTTACACTTTAATACTTTTTTGGTTTTGTCTATTATTATTTCTTTTAGGGATGAGTTTTATTTTTGTTAGAAATGGATATGTTGTGTTTCTTGACCATTTTGGGGAAAATTTTTAACCCGAGGATTTAAGTTGGTTACAGTACATGGCTTAATCATGTGTTATTTACTTATTTGGTTCTGTTAAGATATACATAGTTGTGTAGTAGAAGTATCCCACTGATGCAGGAAGTGAATGAGTGAGAATATAAAATTGTAATACTTTTAGGTCAATATTTATTCTGCATTCAGGTTTCAAGGAATTGTAATTGAAAATGTTTGTAATTTAAACTGACAGGAAATTGACATTGATAGCCTTTACACTGATATGTACATGATATACTGTAAGTAAGGCCATATCACTTGGCTTTCAAGACATCCTCAGTATTGTAGAGTTTTGGGGGGAATTTAGCCTTTTTTTATGTTATTCACTTATGTAATATGTGTTGTAAGTGAATGTTAGTTGGGGATCCAGTGTTATATTTGTCTTAACAGTGAAGATATCTGCAGTTGCTTTACCTTGTTTAAAACTGAACTACCCATCACTGAAAAACCTCAAGTAGCTACTCCCCATGTCATCTCCTATTGCTACTTGAACAAAGATGCGTAAAAAGTCTGTTTCAGCACATAAGTTCAGGTTGGGAGTTATATATACATTGTGGTACTGGTCGAGACATAACCTTTGCATCAGATGGGGAGCAATTAAAATGTTTAATTTGGAAAGGGAGACATCTGGTACATTGCTCTTTTAGTAAATAAAGGAACTCATTTCTGTCTGGTTGTGAGACATACCAAGAAACATAAACGAGGGGGTGAGAACACTTGAGTTGTTTTGATTTTGTGGTATTTGTGTCTAATCACTTGTGTGTGTGTTTTTCTGCTTACTTATCAAAATTTAAGTGTGTGGGTGGTATTGATAAATGAGGGCTTGAGGGTCTTTGGATGTATAAGTGAATGATATCAGTTATGTGTAATGGAAAGGACTTAGGTATATTTATCCATGGAGTTCATTTGTGTGCACATACATACATACATACATGTGAAAGTGAGTTGTTACTTGCAATTCTGGACACTTGACTATTGTACCAGAGTGGGGTATTGGTTTATGAGTGTTAGAAAGTGTGGGGAAAAAAAGATGTGAATGATTTCAATATCAGCATTTTTGAATCATGTGCTTCTGGGCTATAATGCTCCTTAATGGTTAAGAAACACCACTTACTTTTACCTCTTCCTCCTCCTTTCAGTCTTGTCACTTTTCACTAAACAGATTGAACACATTTTAATATCATTATATAAGCCAAAACATCAGAATATTCATTAATATAAATCTCTCTTGTAATGATGCAAATGTCATTCATTGATGGTCAACTCCTCATTGTATTCTGATGTTTTAATATTTACAAATTCGTTTTCTAAATACTATTGTAGTGGTGAAAATTTTCAGTGCCTTCTATCACTCACTCACTCATACAGTACTGTACCTGTTTCATTAATTATTTTAAGTTATTCCTCTTTAAGCTTCCCTCATAAAGAATTCACTCAATTATCCTCTCATTTATGTTTCCTGTTTCAGTGTTAAGGAAATGTGACAGCAGTGATATGTGTAGTATGTATCTAAACCTGGATCATTCCTCTTGTAGGTGTAAATATGTTACTAGAAGTGGAAGCTTGGTCTTGTAAACAAATTGTCTATAAAGGACTTGGAGACACACATAAGCAGTGGGCAAGAAATGCATTTCATGGTTGCAGTTGTTTAAAAACTAACAAGAACTAACCATAAATTTCCTCTCTGGTCATAGTACAGTAGATGTGTAACAATTGAGAGAGATCCTTGCATGATATTTATGAGTATTGGATCCTTTTAAGTTAAAATGAATTTACCTGCTCTCACCAGAAAAAAAATGCTTTGTAAATATCTCTTTGTCATAGGAGTGTTTTTAGTGTTAGTAATAGATAAAAAACCTTAAAAGATATTTTAGAATACAAAAGGCCAGGTGATGTATCAGAAAAAATACTCACTTTTACCCCGTCTTCTCCCTCACCCCAGCCCATGCCTTCGACTATTACGGTAAGTGTTAGTTTTCTACGTGGAACTCTGCCCTCCCCCAATTATTAATAACTAAAAAGCAACAAACCAAAGAAATCTTCCTTATAACCACACAAAGTTTCTGCTCATTCTCTGTGCTGTAGCTTCTTTCTTCCTTGTTTTATGTTTTTTTTTCCCTTTATTTATTTGTTATTTATTTATTTTTATTTTTTGGTTTGAAATTAGTTTTAGCTCTTTGCTTGCTGAGTGTAACTAGTTGCATTTTAATTATTTTTTTGTTTTCCTTTACAGTCCTGATGGGCATGATGGCATATTTATTTTATATTATTTTGTAGAGGTTTTTAAAGGTTTCCAAACGTTTGCAATTATTAGCTTTACTGAATGCCAAGTGTTGATTGGTGCTTTTCCTGCCTTGCTTGTCTGGCCTTACACGTGCCTTCCTGAGTGCCCTCCACTGAGCAGTCGTTCGTGGACTAAGTGTTGTCTAAAGAATGTAAAATGAGTTTGTTGTGGTGCATCATCAGTTCATGTGCCTGCTTGCTTAATGAGTTCTGTTTTATTTAGTTTCTAGCAGATTATGTACATGTGGGACCCTGTGACCTCATTAGACTTATAAACCTCACCACCAACTGACCAATGTAGTGAAAACATTTTCTTTGCCTTTGACTGGTATAATCCCCCTCCTCCTTTCTCCTCCCCTTTGCGACTTACTGACTCGGAGACATCATAACTTGGCCTTTCATATATCAATATGTTGCAAGAATTTTATATTTTAATTTGGCTTGGCTGATGACATTCCTTATTAAGTTTTAAAGGCAAAATATTGGATGTAACTGAGGATATGTTATCATTCTTTTTATTGCCTGCTTTTACAATTGAATTTTTGTTTTTTCCCCAATTTTTTTAACACAAATGCAATTATATATTTTGAAATAAAAGGTTGAAAGACCATGGAAGGTTATTGGGTGTTTTTGGATTAATGCAAAATTTTTGCCTTGTACATAAATTATAATTGCACTACTGTTTGAAATAAAGATAATTTAAGAGATTGTTTCTTGGTTAACTGATGTCCCAAAATATTTGTTGCATATACACATGACAGAATTGACAATTTTTCCCTTATAGAACTGAATGCTTAGATAACCAAGGAGTAGCCATCTGAGTCATTATACGGTAGTTACCTCGTCGATAAAGTTCATACTATCTCTCCATGGCGAGATCAGGACAATGAACCTTAGGGCAGGTATTGATCCCAGATGGAGACTGTCAACCTTAGATAGTTGAAACCAAGTAGAGCCCAGGCTTACATCTCCATAGCCATGTCAGTGTAAATTTATTGTGTAGTTATTGATTGCCTGCGTACCATTTCAATAAAAAAAGTATTGCTTTTTTCTTTTGTAGTGTACGGAAATAATTTTTGAGCCATTTGCCTTTCTTTTTTTTTTACGTACTGTATTGGTGTATAGTTTGCTGAAACACGACAGCAATAATAACTTTTGAGAGCATTTCCTGCCATACGTGAATCTGTGTGCCACCAGTTGTGTTTCTTTTTACAATTTGTTTTGATATTTTTGTTTTCAAATCCGTTGCCTGAGTACCTCTGCCTCTTGCCTTACTAGTCCTCCTTCCTCGTCTCTCACTTTTAATTGTTGCCTCAGTGCCACATTATCCAGCTTCTTTTGTCACCTTGGATTCTTTGCATGACTAAACGATGTACTAGACTGTGTACGGGTAAACTGCAGATAAAGTGCCGTTTGTAAAGAGACACCGATGCAGGAATACGTTATGTCTGTTTACTGATCGGTGAACACACACACACACACACACATTACAAGTTTTTCGTCCCGGTGATCAGGCACCCAAATTCTGGACTTTTATGACACTTGTGTGAGACACTAGAAATGTCAGCGGCAGCTCTTACCAGTATATAATCCAGAGACTCGCTCATAGTATACCATCCAGAAACTTGTTCATAATCTTTCACAATTTGGGCCTGCTGCACCCTTGTGTCCCATTACTTTGGAGGAAATATTTCCCAATAGCAACAGAAAACTAGCTTGGGAACCACTAGGAACCAATATGGATACAGAACCTTTGCTTCTTTCCTGGACTTGAGAATATCAGCCGAGCCTCCTAGTAGTTGGGGTAGTGGCCTGTTGTCTTGTTTGAATTCCCAATCAGTTACAAGTCTTGGTTTCACTGGATTTTTTCGCAACGATTGTTTGAATAGGTCTTGGTCTAAATTTGTTTTTTTTTTCTTTTTTCCCAATTCTAGGAGATGGAATCTTAGCTCAGATTCGATCTAAATACCACAGTATGCGTAAGTAAGAGTATGGTTTGTGAATTTTCTTGATTGTTAATTCTTTTCAATGTATTGCTTAGTTGCTTGATAACATATGTTGAGGTAGAGAGGCGTTAAAGCCATGAACATGTAGCTTTGGCTGTCAAGGAATGAACACAAATGCTTGTGTCAAATAATGAGAAGTTCATAACAGGTTGAATTGTCACAGCTGTAGTTTGATTTATTTATTTTATTTATTTTTTTTTTTTATTTTTTTTTTTTACTATATTATTTTATGTTAATGGATGCATTGATGAAGTTGCTGTTAAACAAAAAATGGGTTAATGATTGCTTGTCATTGATTAACTTGAGTTTAGTGAGTTGTAGCTCATTAATTCCCCCACATATAAGAGGTATATGGAACTCATTCTGCTTGTTAACATTTACAAGTGGTCCACTGCTATCTATAAGGTTCTGTATCCTGATGAATGCTGTCGCTTGTGTACTTAAGTCGTTGATAGCCTTCTGCAGTCTCATTATTATAGTGCATGAGGCATGCAAAGAAAAAAATCATTGTAGAAAACAAGTAACATTACACTTGTTCTGTCCATGTAGGCTTTGTTCAGAGCTGAGGTGCTGTCAGCTTGCACGTTATCCTTCAAATACAGCATTGGCAAAAATTAATTTTTTTTTATTTTGTATCATTTCCACTGCAATATGTGTGTGTTTGATATGCATCAAGAGAGAATTGTAGACTAAAATTAACACTTAATCCTGTTGTACTGCTGATTTTCCATGTTTGTAAATAATGATTAACACAAAAGTTTTGATGAAAGGTTTAATAGTTCAGTACAGTACTGTATATATGAGTTTGTTTGTGAACTGATGTGGCTGTGTGAGGATGTTCGCTAACAGCCCACCATGGAGGTAGACTGACTTGGTCTTTTTTCTTCCCCCCCCCCCTCTCTCCTATTCCCAGACGAATATAATCTAAACCCAGCGCTAGAATGGGATGATGAATTCACAGGTAGGTCCCATGCTCTTGGCTGCTTCTGCCGCTGCTGCTCATTTCATGGATTCTGGCTTGGCTTTCTTGTTCTCTGCTCCTCATATATGTTTTGCTTTTAATGTCTGTTGCTATTTGTTCTGTTTATTTGTTTGATATTTTTGTGTTTTTTATTTTAAATGTCCTTGTGGAATGTATGAAAGATAGACATTGCAAAAAAATTGAAGGTTTCTCTCTCTCCACTTTGATTACTGTACTGGTATTGAAAGAGATGTCTTCAATAAGTAATATAAATCTAACCAACTTTTTCTTTGATTGAGTGAAAAGTGAAATTTTTGCATACGTATATGTATTACAGTCTTACTGAGAGTGAAACCTTACCAGTATGAGTCACCCACAGATTGCTTGTCTTATAATACTACTTACTAGGTTTTGTTATTTATATCTGCTTGATGCTATTGTTTGACCTTGCTTGTTTTCTCAATTGACGTGACTGACGCTGCAAACTGTAAAACCTAGACTAGACCACTGGTTATTGCAGACTATTGTTGTACTCATGTCATAATCTAACGCCAGGGCTTGTTGAGTCACGAAGGTGTAACGAAGTCAGGAACCTGTTAACTGCTGTAATGCTTAACCACGGTGAATGGGAAGTACAGTACGGTATAGCCCTCAGAACAGAGCAGTATATGAGGCGCTACAGATTAAAATACGGTTCTGTAATTTGCTTTTACTACCGTGCACTTGTAATATAGCAGTTGTGGCGGGAAATCATTGACAAGCCTCAGATAATAACCAGGTAGGATGTAACTCATTAAGTCCCTTAGTCAGGGACTGTACTACCTGTACGGACAGAACCGTAAGCCTGTACCCAATGCAGTATGTTTTAACGCCGGCGCTAAATAATTTAAGATCTGCTCCGTGACTAACTCTAGAAGGAACGTACACGGTGACATCATCGCTTTGGTGAATGTTAATGAATAATGATAATGCTTACAGTATAGTATTCATTTCCCTGTGCAACATTAGTGAATTATAAAGCACAGAACTTGGTACAGTAGATTCTAAAGCAATGATAACATCCCTTAGAGAGAATCCTTATATCATATACTGTACCATGTAATATGAGGACATCCCTTAGCACCATAGCTGTATTTGACAGTTCTCTTCTTCTTGTCAGTCAGTGTGTAGAGAAGTGCATGCTTACTTGTCATATACTGTTTTTATTTGGTAGTACAGTAGTTGTAGTAGTACAGTACAGTACAGTACAGTACAGTACGGTATTATGATGGTGTACTGTGTCAGTTCTGCCTTTGAGCATATCAACATGAGCTATGAAGTATGCCAAGTAATTATTAAGATTTGCCATGCCTTCGCGATTAAATAAGTAACTAAAAGAATTTTCTTCCTAATAGTGCGATTAGTATCAAATCTTATTAAAAAATGCATTTCCTCAAGTTTTTAAGTACAGTAGTTTTGATCCTAAGTAAATCTTTTGACATGACTTATCATGTTTCACTAAAGGTAAAAATCTTTAAAAATCTTTAGGAAATTAATATTAATTTAATGTATTAGTAAGAAAGTTTGTTAATTATTATAAACCCTCTCAGCCTCGCATGACGCCTTTGTGGCGTCAAGCATAAAAGGCAAAAAACTTAGGCTCAGCCTTGCGACGCCAATGGGCTATATTTTCAAATAACTCAAAAACTATACAGTGAAACTGACTGAACTTAGGACGCCATTTGAGAAACGTCGTTTTCTTTGTGTGGGCCTCGTCACCTTTCCCAGTGTACGGTCTTGGTCACTGTGTGAGTGGCGCGTGGTGTCGCATTGGCCATTGCGCTGCTTGGCCCTTTAATTATTCCATGAGTTTTTGTGTTATATTATTTTTCCATATACCATGATATTCTACATGCTTTGTTCTTTATTTTGCTATACTGTATAGTACATATCAATGAACACCATAATACTGTACAAGGAAAATGTGAATGGAAATCAAGATGTTACTAAACATTTTCCTACTTTTCATCTTCTTGAAAAAAGTGGCTTAAAATACAAGAAATTTTAATTTTTTATGGTTTCATACAATTTTTCTGACAAGTTTACACCAGAAGAGATCCCATTGCAATTAATAAAACAATTCCATGGTAGTGAAATGAGCCCTAAAAAAAAGAAAAGACTTCGGCAAAAACCTCTGAGGCTGAGTGTAAGTTTTCATGCACGTATGTGTCTCAGGCTCCGAGGCTGAGGGGGTTAAGGAGGCCGACCAGGCAGTTGTTAAATGCAGTACTATGGTGATGTTGGCTTGGGTGTATAGTACAGTAACGTTGTCTTCAATACTGCACTTTATCTTGAGGTGATAGAGATTTTTTTTCCTTAATTGACAAAAGTTTGGAGCAAGAAATATTAAATTAAAATACTTATGTCTTCCTCCCTCCCTTTTATAATTATTAAAAGTACCTCACTATTTCTTCATATCAGTTATATATTTCATGTAAATCCACAATGAAAACGTGGTTAAGATAAATCTTGATAAAATCAAGTAAATCACTGTAGGTGCGCGTGATCTAGGTATATGCTTCTTCTTTCCTTGTGGTTATTAGCATATATATATATATATATATATATATATATATATATATATATATATATATATATATATATATATATATATATATATATATATATATATATATATATACACACACACAGTTGTACCCCACTTAACGCGATCAATAGAACCCAGAGGGTCCCGCGTTAAGTGAACAACAGAACATATGGGATTAATTCCAATAGAAACCAGCCCGACCCCCAAACTCCACTTTTTGAAGACACATAACTATGTTGTAGTAAAAATAACATCTTAATTTTATGATGGTACATGCACACAATTAATACTTAAGAGAAATAGAGAAATACAGTCGCCAAGTTAATGTCCATTCAAATAATGGACTCAACTCCCTCCCCCTCTTCTCACACTACACTGCTGGCTCTTCCCTCTCTGAGAAATTTTTGGGGGAAAACCACTAAATTTTAATAAATAATACCTCAAACTAAAGTTAGGATAATATAATTGACATTGCTGGATTCCTTGTAAGACCAGGAATATTTTGAATATAAATGTCATATATTTTGCACAAAAGATAACATATTTACTCAGAGAAAACATTTTATCTAAAATTTGTATGTCTAATGCAAAATATATGATGTTTATATTCAAAATGATCACCAAATTGTAAGAATTCCAGCAATGTAAATTATATTCTGGCCGGGTAATTTGTATGAATTTTATGAGCTAAAACAAATATCTTCAGTTAATAAAAAAAAAATATTCTTCAGGACACTATCTGTCAATCAAAGTACCCCACCTTGCCTCCCCCCTCTTCCAACCGCGCGGTCAGTCCCAACCCTCCCCCCCACCACTCCTCCCTTCAAGAGAAGAGTGGGTGAAAAAAATAAATTTTAACATTTTGTATTAAATAATACCTCAGATTAAAGTTAGGATAATATAATTGACATTGCTGGATTCCTTGTAAGACCAGGAATATTTTGAATATAAATGTCATATATTTTGCACAAAAGAGAACATATTTACTAGAGAAAACATTTTATCTAAAATTTGTATGTCTAATGCAAAATATATGATGTTTATATTCAAAATGATCATCAAATTATAAGAATTCCAGCAATGTAAATTATATTCTGACCGGGTAATTTGTATGAATTTTATGAGCTAAAACAAATATCTTCAGTTAATAAAAAAAAAAAATATTCTTCACAGGGTAACAGATGGTCCCTCCCTCCCTCCCTCCTCCTCCTCTCCCTCCCTCCCCCCCCCACCCCCCACCAACCGTCCCAAGGAGATGTGTGGGGAAACCAGAATATTTAACTTTAGTAATAAATAATACCTCAAACTAAAGTTAGGATAATATAATTGACATTGCTGGATTCCTTGTAAGACCAGGAATATTTTGAATATAAATGTCATATATTTTGCACAAAAGATAACATATTTACTCAAGAGAAAACATTTTATCTAAAATTTGTATGTCTAATGCAAAATATATGATGTTAATATTCAAAATGATCACCAAATATAAGAATTCCAGCAATGTAAATTATATTCTGGCCGGGTAATTTGTATGAATTTTATGAGCTAAAACAGGCAGTCAGGCAGGGTGGCGGGTGGGGCAAATCTAAAAATAGCGTCTCGAGCCGGACACTCACCGCGTATATGTGGAAACAAAATCCGTGTTAAGTGAAAGTTCAGCTCTGGCGAGGCACCGCGCATATGGTAAAACGTGTTAAGTGAAACCGCGTTAGGCGGGGTAATACTGTGTATGTGTGTATATATGTATATGTATATGTATATATATATATATATATATATATATATATATATCTATCTATCTATCTATCTATCTATCTATCTATCTATCTATCTATCTATCTATCTATCTATCTATCTATCTATATACATATACACACAGTCAATCCTCACATTACGTGGTCCCGCATTCCGCGTTTCACCGTTAACGCGGTGCCTTGCCAGAACCTAACATGCTCACATTCCGCGGTCGTGAACCCCATTACGCGGAGAGCGGCTGGCAAGCCGCGCCATTTTTGGATCCAAACCTCCCGCCATCCGCCATGTTGTGTAAGAGGCGCGAAAATGGTGCGCACAAGGTCGCCCAGTCATCAAAACATTACCGAGTTCTTTACCCGCCACCCACCACAACCGGCCCAAGTCAGTGATAGTGATAATTATAGTGAGGATATGGACTTATATGGACTTTGAGGGGTTTAACAAAGAGGCCCTGCAAGCCTCTGTGGTGGATAGTGATACAATTGATACCAGTGATACAGGTGAGGGCCAATAATCTGCCCTCTGCCTCGGAACCAACCCCCCATCCCCATGTGCCCAGCCATCTTTTCTACTAATGTAAGTGTTAAAAAACCTAATATTATTGATATTTCTCTTAATTATTAATTGTATGTGCATGCCATCATAAAGTTAAGATAATATTTTTACTACAACATAGTTGTGTGTCGTCAAAAAGTGGAGTTTGGGGATCGGCCTGGACTCCATTTCAATTAATCCCATATGTTATGTTGTTCACTTTACGCGTTCCTCACTTTCCGCGGTACCCTCCGGGTTACATTAACCGCGTAATGTGAGACCCAACTGTGTGTGTGTGTGTGTGTATATATATATATATATATATATATATATATATATATATATATATATATATATATATATATATATATATATATATATATATATATATATATATATATATATATATATATATATCTATACACACACAGTAGAACATCAGTAATTTAGACTAATATAGGGCAAAGAAGTTCCAGAATCTGTGCTGTTCTTAAGGATCTGATTACAGATATTTTCTCCAGGATAGGAAGCTTTCCCCCTTACTTTCAGAAAATCTGCAGCACTGTACAGTACTGTGTTCAGTGAGATACACAATTAGAATTTGCAGTTAAGTAGCACAAACATTGAAACATTTTAGTGAAAATGTGAGAACAGTGCATTGGTAGTTATCCTTCTTTTTGTTTTAACTGAAGCTGTAAAATAGTTTTTTACTTTTCTATTCTCTTGAGACTGAGGTGGACCCTAAGCAGAAGTGGCGACCCTGTACAATACCATATTCAATGATGTCCTTGGATGACTCTGGTGTTACCTGCATTATTAGTTATAATTTGATGATTTAAAGCTTAACCTCATGCTGGTGGACAGTTGTCTATGAGCCTGTCTTTATGATGACTGGTCTCCTCATATTACCCAGGTGTCTATCCCTGTGGCTGATGCAACACTGTGTGACCCACACTAGTCACCTGTGGCTGACTCTGTGGCTCCCCTCTCATCCACCACAGGTGTGTGTGCAGTGATCAGTGTTAGAAATAATTGGTGAAATACCCGGCATGTTCTAAATTATCCTAATTCTGTGAACTTGTTTAAATGGACCTTGAGTTTGTAGTGCAGGATCATTACATTGGGATTTTTTTTTTTTTTTTTATAAGTACCATGTTTTGAAAATATGTACTGTAAATTGCTTTTTACACAGTATTAAAAAATAGCCAAGTCCATCCTTCAGGGTCACATTTCTCTGGGTGTCTGAAATATTGATGTTCAAGTCTGAAGTTCTATTGTATATATAATTTGGTAAAGAAAATGAGGTTTGTGTCTGTACAGACATAATGTACTAAGAATGTTCAGACAGAGAATGTTTTCCTATAATGTAATGAAATACTTGTTGCCTTAAACCTGGTACTCAGCCTTTATAACTGACTTAACAATAATAGATGGACTCACAGTATGTTTGGTTAGTAAGTTTTAGTAAGTATAAAGTAACACCAAAATCCATGTCCCTTGTTTTGAGGGTAAGGCTTTGAAACAGTGCTAATATGAATAACAAATTTATGTTACCCTGTATTTACCTCTTAAGTTTAATGATGATGTAGAGTTATGGATATGAAAGCACAGTGGCACAGAATCACAACTAAGGCAAGAATTTATATGCCTTAGTTTAGAGGGAACTAAGTTAATGTGACATGAGCTGTCAGGCATTTGAGACCCATCTTCACTAGATCAGAAGGAACCCTGTAAGTCTTGCCCTCACCACCACTTCCCCTCTCATAGTACAATGGTTCAAACATTGCTAACAGTCAAGTGCATCTTAAGCAAGAGCTAACCAATCATGTTCAACTTATTTCTTGGTCACTTGTGACATGGAAATAGATTTTTTATTTATTTTATTCTGTAACAAAACTAGTTTCTCTCCTCTTACTACTGTATTGTGTATGTGTTAATTATTTAATTATTTACATGATTGATATCTAAGTAAGAAAGTTATTTGTTGCCAAATATACTGTGAGTCTTGTATGATTTCCCACAATACGAGTATTTTTTAAGGGTTTACAAGCCCTAAAAGGTGATGGAGGGAAAATCAGCAAGTTAGGCATTTTTAGCAAGTTTTACTTTGATGTTAGGTTATGAGAACATGTTGACAAATGTCTTAAGTGATAATAACCTTGACATTATTGTAGCCTCATTTCTTTAGCCTGGAAGGAAGGTGTGGGATGGAGGTGATAACTCAGAATATTCCCGGGTTCCTCACTTCAATCCTGTATTTATTTTTCCATTAAAAGAGAGAGAAGTGCATTATAATAATTCATTTAGAGAGACCGGCAGTGTTGACTCGCAGGGAAGGCCTCTGTGCTCAGTTCTAGCATGGCTGGAATTGCGTGGCTTGTTTTAGTGAGACGCACTAACTTTTTGCGGCCGTTTTTGTTGCTTGGCGTAGGAACCTCCCCCTCCCTGTAGCCTCTTGTGGACAGCCACTGTTACCCAACACGTCAGTCACTTGCGAGTGTGACGTGTGGTAGAGGAATGTAAGTGTTTCAGTTTATATTGCCACAATTTTGATTTAGAAATTCAGCTCTTGTTTAATAAGGATAAAAATCTCTATCTTCACTCTCTAGTTCCCTCAGATCTCTATTGTTAAACTATTTCATGTAAATCTTTGGTACCTTCTCAGTTTTTAAGTGAATGTTATGGGATTCTAAGTTCTTTTTAAATATTACTTCTCTTTTTTTTCAATATTGCATATTTAATATCAATAATTCTCTCTATTCATCACCTATTATAAGAAATGCCATTTTGGCAAAGCACACAATTTGTCTCCTTATCGAGCACAGTATCCCACATGTAGCAATTAATATTAAGATAATAAACATAACTATTTTCTCTATATACCTCATAGTAATTAGTAAAGTTTTTGAATAGTTTTTTAACTAAATGATAAAGATACATTTTTAAGACTTAAGTCATGTAAAAGTTTAACTGTTCAAGAATCACTTGAACAATAGTTATTTTCCTAATACAGTACTATACGAGTAATACAGGGACTGATGATTAACTTGAGACCTTTGGTACTGTAGTCTGGATTTCTTTATCTTTTTAAATGATTGAGCACTGTACTGTTTTGCTGTTTTTATTTGATTTAGTTCTGAAATTTCATGCTGCATAGATAATTTCTGCAAACATTTTAGTTATAAAGTACAGTAAGTGTTGGTAGTAGTAGGTGCAGGCTTATTTACCATGTAGTTCTCACCTATGATGACCCGCAAGCCGAAGAGGAGGACAACTCCCTCACCATGCTGGATACTCCCCCTATATACGGAGGAGGTCACAACCGTCACCTTCCCCCGGGGATACTGCCCACCGGCATGCCGACCGTGCAGGACGTGAAGCCGGCATTGGCTACAGAAGCAGAGAAGATGGAAGAGGAAAAGCCACAACCACGTAAGTGTTGTGAAACCTCCATATAACTGACTCCTCTCTTCATATAATCCCCGAGACGGGGTTTTCACCTCTAACGGATCCTCGATATGACAGACTTTCACGTCTATATACCTTGTAGTCCATTATATAGAGGTTTCACTGTGTAGTATACAGTCTTGATCTGAATATTTGATTGGAAACAACTGAGGGGAATGTTCACTTTTAACATTTAAGTTATCTGCTTTATGGAAAGTAGCAGGATATTTTCTTTTTTTTTAAGGACAGCCAAATAGTAACTAAAAAACCCATTTAGGGGATTCTATTACAACAGAATGATGTAAAAATCAATTAAAATAGGCATGCAGGTTTGACCATCATAGGGCTATGGTTCATTGTTATACAGACTGGACACATTAACCACACAAAACGGATTTTTGCATACATGTCGAGGTAATCACTAATATCTGGAATGCCCCATTTGTTATGTACCATAATTAGAAAGTCATTAATGTAAAAGAAAAAATAATCTTAAGAATTATATTTCAGGGTTTGGATTTGCAATGATTCATTTATGTAATATCTTACCCATAGCATTTGATGAGAGTGCAGTACAGTTTTTAATTGATATCAATAATTTTTCGGCCATTTTTGGGTATTCTACTACTGTATAAGACAGATTTGTGTTTGTGTCCAATTAAGAGGGAAATTTATTGTACGTACAGCTAGACCCCGACTTACGACGGGGTTAGGGACCCAAATCCAGGTCGTTAGTCCGAATGGTCGTAAGTCCGACATGTATAATTTTTTTTTTTTTTTTTTAATAAAAATTCTACAATGAAATACAGTACAGTAAAAGTAATAAATAATGAGGAATGGATACAGTACAGTGAAAGTAATAAATAATGAGGAATGGATACAGTGTGACTGAGCACTTACCTTTAATGTAGTCAGCCGAATGCACATGGGGCCCCCATAATTTTCTAATTATACATGGAGACTACATTAACTAGAAACGTTTCGGTATAGAAAATGCGTGTCATTTGAAAAAAAAAAAAATTGAAAAACAAATGGCCACAACTGCGGCGGGTCGTAAGTCGAAGCAGTCGTAAGTCGGGGCCTAGCTGTATTGTACAAACCTCGGAGAACTGTAGTTTGTTATATACAGTATGGTGTGTGGCAGCATAGACTAGGGTGTAGTTTTCTCCCGATTTTTATTTATTTATTTATTTTTTTTGTATGTCAGCTCGTGAGTTGTCGGACGAAGAGAAACAGATGTTGATGATGACAGAAGAATTCCACAGCTTTTTTGATCGCTCGACACGTGTCATGGAGCGAGCACTAGCTGAAGATGCCAACATTTTTGTGGATTATTCACACGACTATGAGGAGGACGGTGAAGCGTATGTACTATACCGTACTGCTATTTTATGGTTGGATAGAAAATATTCCCATAATTTTGTATGTGTGATATATCTGATTTCTTATTTTTCTCTGGAGATTTTTGTTACAACCTCTCAATGCTGTTACCATGTGAGGCAGTGGGTGGTAAGAGTACTGTTGCTGTATAACATTAGTTTCTATTCATCCTGTTACTATTTGATTTGATTTATTAATTTGTTTTCTTTATTTATTTTATTTATTTATATTTTATCATTCTATGGAAAATGTAGCACTGAAAGGCAATTAACTCAAAAGTGCATTAACATTTTTATTATTTATTTATTATTGATATTATTACTACAGTATTATTATTTCTTCCTTAAACTCCTAGAAAACTAATTCACATTTATCTTTTAGAAATGAGAACGGAGGAGTGAAATTATCCTTGAATCGTTGGTTCTTTGATGAAAGGTGGTCACGTAATCGTTGCATCACTTGCATGGATTGGTCACCCCAGTATCCAGAACTCTTAGTAGCCAGGTGAGGAAATGTGTTGCTTAATGAAGATAGTGTTATTTGTAACTGTATAGGGAATGTGACTTATTCAGTGGGTATGTAGAACCATCTTTGGGTATTGTTTTAGGAGGCAGGGACTTCTTATAACATTTATGCTAAATCCCTTGTGTTTGGTCCACTAGTCAGTTGGTATTTTATGGAAAACTAAACTGACTCACTCTTACAATTTTTTTACAATTTCAAAACAGATCACATTCACATGCAACTTTCAAATGGTCCATCAAGCAACGTCACCCCAACGAGAGTAATTTTTTTTAAATTAAATTATAAACGATATATTTTCCTGAAGTTCCTCCACCATAATTGTCCGACAACAATGGCAATTACTCCATCGTATAAAATCCTCATGATGGCAAAGTCCTAAATAAATGTCTTTTTCAGTTCTATAAGATGGTATATTTCACAATTGTTGCAAATGAACGACAATAAATGTATGTGTGTACTGTAAGTATATTCTGTGTAGTTTCTCATGAATATAGATTAACTTTACCATGTCAACACATTAGTTTTTATTATCTAGAAACGAAGCTTGTTGGCCCAAACTTACCTGACCTATTACGTATCTTGCTTTTTGGCACGTGATCAAAACTTACATTTTGTTTAAATTTCATGCAAAGATACTTCTCTACATGCTGGTTAAGAATCTTGGTTCATAACTTTAGAATTTGATTAATTAGTGTTAATTAATGATGCTTAGTTATTCATTTGAATGCCAGGAACAGAGGTTTTTCTTTGAAATTTTTGGAATGATTTCAATTTCAATTGTTTATTCCTTGATAGAGGAAGCGGGATCCTAGTGCTGTCACTAGGTATTTGGAATGATAAAATTTTATTTTTCAGGGCTGCACTGCACTGCACTGTACTGTATTGTACTGTACTGTACCGTACTGTACCGTACTGTACCGTACTCTTCTGTACTGTATGCTCTTTTTATATATGGCCCGCTAGTAAAAACTCCTTAGTCTCTTTTAGAGAGCATCACTTGGAGGTAGAGTATTGGCTGAGTAAATATAATACCTTACATGCTGTCCTAAGGGTTGCTGTTTTGAACCCTGATCTCTCCCAGCTGTGAAGATGGTTGTGTGTAATTATTATGGGATTTGGTTTTTTTTCCCTCCTTTTATAATGTGTATAAGTATACATCACCAACGACTGGTGAATGTAAAGTTAGTGACCTGCAGCTACTAACTGTTGTCCTCACCCCCCAGCTACAATAACAATGAGGACTCTCCACATGACCCTGATGGTGTTGCACTGGTCTGGAATACTAAGTTTAAAAAGGACACTCCAGAATATATCTTCCATTGCCAGTCTCCTGTCATGTCTGCCACTTTTGCCAGGTACAGTAATACTGATTCTCGTTGCTTATGTATTAATAACTTGTTTGGTAGTGTTGGTTTTACCCAACAGTTGGCATCAGGTAATTGTGGCTAACCCATGCAAGCGTTGAAAATGGCTGTGAACCAATAACAAAGATGATTAAATTGTTTATATATAAGATGAATATTTATAGAAGTGTTGTGAGTGGCAGGATAGACTTGTCATACACCTCGGGTTGATACATATCTGGAAAACCATCTGAGGAAGAGAAGAGTTTGTTAGCTTTTCTTTATACACATTACTCTCTATGCCTTTGTTTTATTTACTATTCTTTTACACAGATTTCACCCAAACCTCATCATTGGAGGAACATATTCAGGACAGATTGTTCTGTGGGATAACAGGAGCCAGAAGAGAACACCAGTACAGAGGAGTCCCCTCTCAGCCTCAGCTCACACAGTAAGAACACCACCTTCGTCCTCAAATCACAACATTCTCAACATTACTTTTGCCTCCGAACAGATTTAGTAAATATAAGTCACCTTACTTGTATTTTCCCTTTGATTTCCATTATAGTTTAAGAGAGGCAGTTAGATGCATATTGTATACTGTACAGTGGTCCCTCGGTTAACGAGCTCCTCGGTTAACGAGATTTCGGTTAACGAGCTCCTCGGTTAACGAGATTTCGGTTAACGAGTTAACGCCCGTAAGATTCTTAACTTCAGTTAACAAGCAATCCCTCGATTAACGAGTTTCTTACAAGCCGACCTCAACATGTTTTTGCTTGCACTTGGCGGTCAACCAGCTGTAGTATTAGTCCGCCGTACAGTAATCAGTTCTAGGGCTTAAATTCCTTACTATTTTATTAAATATTAAGAAGTTTATACTATGCAATAATTTTAAAAGTTTAATATTAAATTTTTTAGTCATTTTGACAATTATTGAACATAATTGAAGGTAAGGTCACTAGTTTCTGGCCCGCCATCCAGCCTGTTAACACACCAAACAAGCGTTAGTCTCTCTCTGTTTTCAGTGGAGGTAACATCTTGCTTGAGACTCTCTTCAACTAGATGCTTTTTTCTGTGTTTCCAAGCAAATTATTGGTCATTTTGAAATATATTTTACATATTGACAATATATAGCGCAGTGCAGTGTTATTTAAAAAAAATATTCTTTATTTATAGCTAGTTTATACTTAAAAGATCACGTGTTGACATTGTTTGAATCCAGCATGTGGCCTAAGATCAAGAAAAGCGATTTCAATCCAAACCAAGCAGGAAATTATTAAGAAACATGAAGAAGACGTTACAACAAATGCGCTATGCAAAGAATATGGCATGTCGACATCAACTGTCGACAATTCTTGCACAGAAAGGCAAATTTAAAGAAGTGAAAGTGAGAGACAAATCTACCAGAGTGTTTATAGGTAGAGCCCTAATTGCAGAAACAGAGAGGTTATTTCTCATCTGGATTAGGGAAAAACAAATGAAAGGTGATTCAGTTTCTACTGAATTCATTTGTGAAAGAACAGGGAGATTTACGAACATTTAAAGACAGGTCAACCTTGTTCATCAGGCACAGAATTTGAAGATTTTCAGGCCAGCAAAGGCTGGTTCGAAAAATTTAAGAAAGGAAGTGACATTTTTAGTGTTGTTAGGCATGGTGAGGCTGCTAGTGCCGATAAGGAAGGTGCAGCAATGTTTTTAGTGGAATTTAAAGAACTGATGGAAGAAGAAAATTATCTTCCACAGCAAGTGTTCAATGTGGACGAAACTGGGCTGTTCTGGAAAAAGATGCCCAAAAGAACATTCATCACCAGAGATGAAGCCTCTTTACCTGGGCATAAACCCATGAAAGACCGTCTCACTCTATTGCTTGGTGCCAATGCTTCAGGGTATTTCCGACTGAAGCCTATGCTTGTCTACCACTCTGAAAACCCCAGGGTGTTCAAGCAACAGAAAGTGGTAAGAGCAAAGCTTGGAGTTTATTGGAAGTCCAACCGTAAGGCATGGGTGACAAGACAGCTCTTTAATGAATGGGCTGTTGAGGTGTTTTGCTCTTCTGTCAAGAGCTACCTAACCACCAATAAACTCCCTTTAAAGGCTCTTCTCCTCATGGATAATGCTCCTGGTCATGACCCTGAACTTGCCAGAACTTTGGAGTATCAATTTGACTTTGTGAAAGTGTTGTTTTTGCCTCCCAACACTACATTAATCATACAGCCAATGTACCAGAATGTGATCAGCAACTTCAAGAAGTTGTACATGAAGAAAATGTTTAGGAGGTGTTATCAGGCAACTTCTAATGATCCTAAACTAACACTGAAACAGTTCTGGAAGACACAATTCAACATCCTGGAGGCTGTAAAATTGATTGTGTCATCTTGGCAAGAAGTCTCCACTAGACCCCTCAATTCTTCATGGACTGCACTGTGGCCATCAGTAGTCCATGATTTTGAGGGATTTCAGGATGACACAGAGTTGTATCAGGAGATTGTGTCCATCGGTCAGTCATTGGGCCTTGAAGTGGAAGAGGATGATGTCGAAGAGCTTGTGATGTCTCATGAGGAGGAACTTACTCCTGATGACTTGAAGCAACTGGATGAGATGTTAGAGGCTGACAATGGTGAGGAGGAAATGGAAAGTGATGACCATATGTCAATTTCAGAGTTGAAGGATATGATTTACCACTGGGAGAAGTTCAGGGAACTGGCTTCAAAGCATCCAGATGTGGACAAATCTGAACTAACTTTGTGTCATGTTGAGGACACAATGGTCTCCTTCTTTAAATATAAGTTAATGATGAGGAGGAGAGATGCCCCACAGACCACGACACTTTCTTCAGTAAAAGGCAAGAGGGAACAAGGTGCAAGCCCTCAGTCTTCCACTTCAAGAAGGAGAGAGGATGATAATAGCCCCCAGCCTTCCACTTCAAGAAGGAGAGAGGATGATAATAGCCCCCAGCCTTCCACTTCAAGAAGGAGAGAGGATGTTCATGGTGGAGAATCTGTCAGTCCAGAGGTTCTTGACATTTTCATGGAAGGTGACTCCCCTTCCAAGAAGCAGTAAAATGCTTCACCTCCACTTCCTTCTCTTCTCCCTTCTCCTCCTCCACCTCCCACTTCAAATTCACATCAGCATCATCATCCAGGAGCCTTTTACATACATACCTCAAAATATGTGTAATTTTCTACCCTTTTTGTTGAATTTAGGCAATTTTCGGTGAGCTGGAACCAATTACCCAAAAACCCATTGAAACAATGGTTTCGGTTAACGAGATTTTCGATTAACGAGCAACCTGCTGGAACGGATTGTGCTCGTTAACTGAGGGACCACTGTACCATCTTATTAGAAGGTGGTACAACATATCCATCTCTTGAAGAAACTCTAGTGTATCATTAATTATGTTGATAGTTGGCAATTGGAAACAGTAAACTATAATCCTTGTCATATTTAATAACTTGTTCACTTGATAATGTGTTCCTTTCAGCATCCAGTTTACTGCATGAAAGTTGTTGGGACACAGAACGCCCACAACTTAATAAGTGTCAGCACCGATGGCAAGATGTGTTCATGGTCCCTTGACATGCTGTCTCAGCCACAGGTTAGTGGTCATAACCTTATACAGTATTAATTAATATAAGTAGTGATACGAGAAGGTGCTCATATTTCATTATTGTGCAAAACTAAAATTGACTGTTTTTTGGTTCTTTGAAGGAGTCCATGGAGCTACAACACAAACAGTCACGTGCAGTAGCTGTAACGTGCATGGCCTTCCCCCATGGTGATGTCAACAACTTCATTGTAGGCTCTGAGGAAGGGGCTGTTTTCACTGGTGGGTACTGAAGAAAAATTTATCATTAGAGGGTTACAAAATTTGGCTGGTAGTTTTATGTGTTGAAGTGTTGAGATAATACAGGGTGATCCATTTGGGTATGGATAAAATAAAAATGCTGTGAGAATGTAGCAAGAAGTGGTACAGTGGTCATATGTTGTGTGTGTTTGGTCATATAACTGGGGATTTGTCACAAGTGCAGTTGATGTCTACAACCTTCAATTGCAAGCAACTGAAGAGTTTGTTGGTCTTGAGTCCAGCCACCTTGAGTCAAATGAGAAAGGGGTTGTAGGAGAGTAAAAAATATATTTGAATTGTTTATACAGTAGGTTAGGACTTTGTAAGATTTACTTGAAAAAATTAACATTTTTGGGTAATGAGACGGTACTTGTTACAGCCTGTCGCCATGGGAGCAAAGCAGGTATTGTTGATGCATATGAGGGGCACCAAGGTCCTGTGACAGGAATAAGCACCCACTCCACTCCAGGACCTATTGATTTCTCCCATCTCTTCCTCACTTCTTCCATTGACTGGACTGTCAAATTGTGGTCTGTTAAGGTAAGTGTTAGTGCTGACACAAGTGCAGTGCATCCTGTCTTCTTTGGTATGGTGTGAGTAAAAGGGAATATGACCATGAAGATGTAGTTATTGATTTTATAAAAGAAGACTTAAGTTTGATGTATCAGCATAGGCTCCCACTACTAATTTGTTTGTCTGGAATGCTTATAACATTAAAAGGCAAAGAGGCTTTTGCATTTTGTAACAGACATATCGGTTAATTTTTAGTGTACACACTTAAAAGGAATTATTCTCTCCTCATATGCTTAGACTTAAGTTTTATGATAACACAATAGAGCTCATGTAACGATATTGTTTTATGTACAGCCACTCCACGACTTACTACCTACTTGATTTACGACCACCCGGACATACTACCGCCCCAGTCGTACCAAAAAAAATTTCAAATTACGTATTTTCAAGTCCCGACGTTAGTGATTGCGCTGTGTACTGACAAAATTTTCGTTTGTAATTCCCTATACAATGGCTGGCATGCTTAAAAGTGAGAGTTTTGTGGTGCTGAGAAGAAAAAGAGACCCATTTTAGATTTTCTATGTATTATCTTCACATTTTCGACTTACAACCTGGATTTGGGTCCCTAACCCCGTCGTAAGTCGAGGAGTGGCTGTATTGTGATACATGGTAAATCTTGGCTGTGAGATCATTGGTGCTGTGGCTGTGAGAACCAGGGCAACACATCACCTGTTGATATAATCTACTTTAAGATAAATACTGACATTATTTATATGGAAATTGTATACTTTTCATTTTTACATTTTCTTTATTTACCGTATATACTCATCTATAACCCCCCCTCGTTTAAAGGTCGACCCTGATTTTTTTACCAAGAAATCGTTAATTTACGATATTCCTCGTTTATAGTTCGACCCACGTTTTTGAGGGTAATGGAACAACAAAACCTTAACTAAAAACGCTCTACGTCCTATAAACTGAGGCTCGCCGTGCATGAAACACGAGTGCTGAAGGCAAATTGTTTACCATTTATTATTACGACACTTTACACTGAAACGCGGGTAGTTTCAACAAAAATATTGTATATTTCCATTCAAGTATTTATTCAAGTCAGTTAGGAGGGAATATTATTGTAATACAACAGTTTTTTAACTAAACCGTTCGAAAAGCGATTACGGTAACATCTTTTGAACGAAAGAAAGCGAGTCATTGTTTTCATCACGAATTTATCCCACTTTCCACTTTAATACGTACATAATTTCAGCAAAAATATTACATTTCCGTGAATGTATTATATCAAGCACAGTATGAATAGAATATCATTGTAATATAACAGAATTTTAACCGAAAACTATTAAAAAACGAGTAACATCTCAAGAACAAAAGCTTAGGTAAAGTCTTTTGTTTTTGTCATGTATTTTATCCTATTTTACATTGAAATACATCACGTTTCAGCAAAACTACTTTTATTTCCGAGAATATATTCATTCAGGCGCAGTTTAGGTAAAATATACGTGTGATGTAATAGTTTTTTAACTGAAAACGATTCGAAAAACACGTGCCCTCTAGCCCTGTTCAAGGAGAGGACTGGGAGAAGCTGTTTGGTGCTGCAGACGATGACAAGGAAAATGATTTTGATGGATTTAATTGAAAATATTCAGAAATATGGTATCGTAGTATTTATTCAAGTCAATTAGGATAGAATATTATTGTAATACAACAGTTTTTTTAACTGAAAACCATTCGAAAAGCGATTACGGTAACATATTTTGAACGAAAGAAAGCGAAAGTCATTGTTTTCGTCACAATTTTATCCCACTTTCCACTGTAATACGTACGTCATTTCAGCAAAAATATTACATTTCCGTGAATGCATTATATCAAGCACAGTATGAATAGAATACCATTGTAATATAACAATATTTTAACCAAAAACTGTTAAAAAAACGAGTAACTTCTCTTGAACATCGGAAGGTTAGGTAAAATCTTTTGTTTTCGTCACGTATTTTATCCTATTTTACATTAAAATATATCACGTTTCAGCAAAACTACTATTTATTTCCGAGAATATATTCATTCAGGCACAGTTAAGGTAAAATATACATGTGATGTAACAGTTTTTTAACTGAAAACGATTCGAAAAACATGTGTACCGTTTAGCTGATACAGCTGGTGATGTGTCATGCGTCGTTGTAAACAATAGGAGGTTGAAGTAGATTACCGGGTATTATATTAAGTGTGAAATATGGAAAAGGTTTTTATTACCGGTATTTTTTGTAGATCAATGAGAACTGTGATACCGTATATGATATGATAAGTTAGCCTGTGCTAAGAACTTCAACATAGACTACTGAAAGCACGTTGTAAGGTAATTTAGCCTATTGTAAGTTGGTGAGCTTCATTTACTGAAGGAACTGCACAACTTTTCATTACTAATTGGTCCATATTTTACGTTTCCATTGTTTACTGGCAGTAAATGGTAAATATTTTTCATGTCTGAAGCTAAAAGTTGCTCCTCGCCCTTCCCATCATGCACGGGTTCATCCTAACAAAACTATTACGCATGTATAGAACGACCCTCAATTTTTTGCCTAAAAATTTGGTCTTAAATACTCGAACTATACACGAGTATATACGGTAATTTCCATTCAGTACATGCAAATGTTGTTAAATTTTCAGTGTGTTTCAAGGGGGGATTTATACTATTGGAAATATTTTATGTACAAGCTGCACTGTTTCTTTAAATCATATACCATATACTGTATAGGTGGAGGATAATCAACCTAGAATTCTTGAAGGCATTGTTTTTGTAATTTCACCTGGACACCGGTCATTAGCCTCTTACTACTTTATTGTAGCTATGGGATTAGTGCAACAACTTGATGGTGCAATTAGGTGCATATGCTTGTAATTTACAATTTCTTTGAAGCCTTCAGTACAGTGGAACCTCCATTTAACAGACTTTATGGAGAAGGACGTCCATTATATCGAGGTTCTGTTAGATAAAAAACCTCAATCTAACAGCCTATAACCATCAGATGGAGGTTTCAGTGTACTGTACTGTGAGTTTTCCTTAATGGGATGACAAGTGATATATAAAAACCTTACAAAGGGTCACCTTACATGAGCTGCAGTTATGCATGATTTATATTTATATTTGTAACCCGTGTTTTTCTTCTGTCGTGTTCCTTATGGGATACAAAAGCATTGGTCGATGAAGGTAAGCTGAGGTGCACTCTTAATAGCTTATTATTATTAAAGCTCGGTGCTACGTCTCAACATTATGTTAAGCATGGGTGTCCTCTTTACTTTTAAGCTGATGATTTTTTGTATAGTTTGAAGAATTTTTATTCATTATAAATTTATAATCTTGATCCAACATAATCATATGGACTTGTGTATAACTGCAGAGGTTTTCATTAATTTGAAATCTTATGAAAACTTTTTGTTTTGTTTTAACTTGTTTTTCAATGTTTAGTATTAGTTAAGCCAATTTGCCAGAAAATACAATTCGATTTTCTGTCACGACCTTTGTCTTCTGTATAATCATGATGAGCTAAAGAATCAGTAAAATTTGGTGAAGAATTTAAAACCATAGTGTTTTGAGACGATATTTTCTTGAATTAAAATTTCAAGCAAATTCTTTTCCAACATTATGGACTTTTGTACCAGTGATAATCCATTCAAAATTCCCCTGCTTGTGCATGCTAGATGCTTATATTAATGGTTTGTGTGGACAACCAAGACAATCTAACCATAACATCCAATCTTGGTTTTGGTAATACCTGTACTGTATACAAATGTGCTGCACCATTCTCACATGAACAGTGTTTGAATTTATTGTCTTTTTAAATCACCAACACCATTGTGAGCACAAACAGCAGCATATATATATATATATATATATATATATATATATATATATATATATATATATATATATATATATATATATATATATATATATATATATATATATATATATATATATATATATATATATACATATATATATATACAGTGACCCCTCGTTTAACGAACGCCTCGGTTAACGAAATTTCGGTTAACGAACTGCCTTCCATAAGGATCTTCAATTCGGTTAACAAATTTCTTACGAACCGACCTCAACATGTTTTCGCTTGCACTGGCCGGGCAACCAGCTTTAGTATCAGTCCGCCAATACATTAATCGGTTCTAGATAGTTCAAGTTTTTCTGTGGTGGTGGGGGTCCAGCGGAAGCCATTGTTGCAAGATTAGCGGGCACACGAGACAATTGTATACGCGGTGACTGAGAACAATGCGACTGGCGCAGGGTAGGTCAGCGGCTTCTTCCCTCCCGTGGCAGGGCACGTCATATTACATTAAACCAATCACAGCTAGCGGGGAACTGAGGTAAGGATGCGTTGCCCAATCTTAGTCCGATACGTCATATGACGTCATCGATAATGCAACAGCTACATACTGGTCAACCTTACTCGCGCCGCTTACCCCCGCTTATGGTCAAGCATGTCGGGATGGCGGGAGGTTTGAATCTAAAATGGCGCGGCTGGACGGCCAGCTGCTCTCCGTGTAAATGACTAAATTTACCACATACTTAAAGCATTTCATTTCTGGCAAGGCACCGTGTAAATGACCAAATGCGTTAACCAAAACCACGTAAATCCAGACTATACTGTATATCATGTAGATCCACAATGAAAACGTGGATAAGGTGCTCCATTGTTTCCCTTTACACAACTGCTTGATGTGAGGAGTTCTTATCATAACTGTCCCTAAATATTTCTTATAGAGTTTGGGGCAAATTCATTCTTTCTTACACTTGCAAGACCCTGAACCCTCAGGTCTAGCATGTAGATGTTGTATTTTGATGAAGGGCCATAAATATCTCATGAAAAGGTGAAATTACCAGTACAGTATTGTATCATATTTTGAACTTCTTCAGTTTAAAGAAAGTGTAGATTCACACTGCAGTGTTTGCAATATGATTGTCAGTGCAATATCCAATGTTGCTACTGGTGTTGCATTTTTTAAAGAATTTCAACCTTTGTATAATGAAGGATTTTAATAGGATATGAAATCTGAGTTTAGGATGACTCAATAATTGTATATTTAAGTGCACCAAACTCTTTCTCATCCTGTTGACTAGCAAACCCATGAAATCCTTGCTTCACTTCTTTAATAAATATTCTTCTAGCTTTGCTTGTCACATGTTTCATGCTTAGCTCAAAGGAGATGTTTAATTATTAATATTTTGTGTTTTACAATTCCCCAAGTATTGTCATTTCCCTGAATTACATCTTTGATCTTCCATAATTCCACGTGAGCAAAAAATTATCAAGGTCTAGCAGAGAATCTTGATAAAAGCAAGTTATTATGGCCACACTTCATTAATATTCCCCTTATTTGTTGGTACTGTATTAATGCTAATCCTTGTGGAAAATTGAAGTTGGCTTTCTAGTTGACTAACATTGGTTTCAAGAAAAGTATTTTACCGTTTTAGCAACATTTATAAATTTATTTTACTTATTAATTAAAATGTTCATTTTAGTGGTGAGTATTGATGCCAAATGATCCTTTATATATTTATTGCAGGAAACAAAGCCTCTGTATTCATTTGAGGACAATGGGGATTATGTATATGAAGTGGCTTGGTCACCCATCCATCCAGCTCTCTTCACAACTGTGGATGGCTCAGGTCGAATTGATCTCTGGAATTTAAATCAAGATACAGAGGTAATAAATTGATTTACTAATATTTTACTAGGTTGCACTAAATAAGTTGAAGAAATAAACTGGATTATTGGATAATTAAAAAAAATTAATAAATAAAATTTGATCGAGGTACAAATTGTCAGTAGAGTAAAATATAAAAAAAATTTTTGTTTCCACTTGATGACAGGTACCAACTGCTAGCACAGTTGTTGAGGGCAGCCCAGCCCTGAACAGAGTGTCTTGGACAAATTCTGGCCAACAAATTACTGTTGGAGATGACATGGGTAAAATATGGATCTATGATGTTGGAGAGGTAAGGATCCAGTTTATTGAAACCGTACAGAAAGTGTTCATGTGTAGTGCTTTTGATATTACAGTATAGTACACTGTTTTCTCAGATAGCAGAGAACCAAAGATGTAACATACTGGTACTGAGTTTCTTGGAGAAAAAGTTAAATTTCTAATTGGTTATGCTATGGCTACTGAAGCCAACTGCTACACTGACAATAGGAGAATGAAGCTGCCACCTTGGTATGCCTTTCTTTTTTTAATTTGTTTATTTATTTTATAGATGGTAATTAATGCATCACTTCTTTTCAGCAACTGGCCTTACCACGCGCAGATGACTGGGCTCGTCTGGTTCATACGATGGGAGACCTGAAGAACAACCAGGCTGATGATGACCAATCTACACGACACTACGACTCGTCGTTTTCATCACTTACGTCGCTCTCGTCGTCTCCTCTCAGATAAATAGTGAATGTCTATTAGGAACTATATTCAATAATATAAACCATTACGACAAATTAGTTTTTGAAAGGATGTCTGTCCTTGAACTCCAGAGTAATGCAGGTGGCTTTTGAAATATCTATGTTTCACTAAAATCAAGTAAAGCTTCAAACTGTATGAGGGTAAATGTTATAACTACTGTATTAAAAAAGATCGATTTTGTTGCAAACTATAAAATGATAACATGATCATTGGGAGTTTAGTTTGTGTTTTTACATAAAGATTTACTTTACGTGTGAGCCTCATCAATTGTAAGGTAACCAAATGAGCTCATCATCGCTGAACTCCTTTCTTGTTAGAGGATTATTTATTTGCCAAAGTGATTTATTATTGTTGTATGTATAAATTAAAATTACAGGTGCTCCCCAACTTACGACGGGGTTAGGGACCCAAATCCAGGTCGTAAGTCCGACATCGATAAAAAAAAAAAATCAAAGTTTCTTTTTTCAAATTTATTTTTTTTTTTTTAAATAAAAAATCTACAGTGAAATACAGTACAGTAAAAGTAATAAATAATGAGGAATGGATACAGTACAGTAAAAGTAATAAATAATGAGGAATGGATACAGTGTGACTGAGCACTTACCTTAATGTAGTCAGCTGAATGCACATGGGGCCCCCATAATTTTCTAATTATACATGGAGACTACATTAACTGGAAACGTTTCGGTATAGAAAATTCGTGTCATTTGAAAAAGAAAAAAAATGGTCACAATTGCGGCGGTTGTAAGTCCAAGCAGTCATAAGTCGGGGACTACCTGTATACTGAGCAGCTTCTGTAAAATAATTTATTTACCAATACACTTTCATCTTTTTAATCCCAATGTATATAGAGAAAGCCTTAAAGAGGCAGTTGCTAAAAAAAAAAAAAAAAAAAAAAAACACGAGAGCATATAAGTTAGGGTCTGCAGGAAGGAAGGTTTAATAGAGTGGCTGAGAAAGTTTAAGCATGGGCTAAAAGATTTGAGTGGGCATTTTAATCCTCCCTCTTATAAAACATCATCAAACTGTAATGTTACCAGAATAATTAAAAGAAACCAAAGATACTTTGATAGCAGAATAATTAAAATCGTCTAAAAAATAGTGTTACCAGAGAACTTAAAAAAATCTTCATAATATAGGGTTACCTGTAAGTGTTGTATATACAGGCAGTACAGTAAAACTTCTATTTAAGGGACACCAATCTAACAAATACAGTATTACATCAAATGGTTTCAAAAAATTCAAAGCAAAAGTTCTGTACAAATAAATACCATAATGCCCAGCCTTGAACAGTAGTGATACAAAGACATCAATAAATTTACATGCATTTTGTGAAATGGCCCAAATATCCCCACATAACTGGTCTTGTTGCCCCCACTCAGGAAAGTTTCCATATTTGCCACACTGGTGTAACATGCAGTAAGGCATGTTGGGTGAATTAATAATACAATAATTATCCAATCTGTGCTAAGTTGTGATTTATGAATTAGTAGAATGTTACCTTGTGTGTCAAAGTATCATCAATGCTGAAGATTTTACACCAGTGGGTAGCCAGCATTAGTAGCTATCCCGCACTGGTTGTTTCGGTTGCAAGCGATCTTCATGTAGCCGTGGTCTCCCCAGTAAGGACTGCAGGAGTTTTTCACGATCCAGTACTCGTGGCCCCAGTCAGAACCATAGCCCACCACCAGTGCCCCGTGGGTAAGGTGCGTTGATGAGCACTGAGGGTCGTAGTACACACCTGGGAGATGGAGAAGACTTAAGATTTTATTTGTGTTATTCAAGAACTACCATACTGTACATCACTGCTGGAAGGTGAAATATACTGTTTATTACCCTGAATATTTAAACTACTGTACCAATACTAAAAAATAACTATATCCAATAAAAATATTGCATCTTTCTGAGGAAAATAAAATTCTCTATTCCTATCCAGGTTCAGTACTATACAGTTAAACCCCTTCACTATGGGGACACCACTTAATAATTTATTCGGCTAATGCCAGATTATTTTATTCAGCACACAGAGACCCTGTCTGCTAGAGGTTAAAAGAAAAGTAGAGATGATGATGTCTGTAGTGCCTCACTCCCCTAGAGACCCCCCCAAGGATATGAGGCGATCCGAGTCAGAAGGGGGTGAAGCGACATCCCGGCCAAAATGCGTTTTTTTGGTGGATATCACCATTTTCACCCTTCCTTTACATGTTGGAGTTGGATGTAACCATCTAGCTAGAATAGCAATATGGTAGAAAGTCCTTCAAATATAAGACGTGATTTTGCCTCGGGGTCTGGAGCTACGCATCTGGCTGTGTGTTCAGTTCCAAAAAGTGGCAACATCCAGTTCAAAGCGAGAGGAGCGCGAGCCAATGACAGCATGCCTCCCTCGGACCATACCCCTAGAGGCAGCCAGTCGCAATGGATTTCCCCTTACTACGTCACAGCCCCTCGGCCAATCTGCGTGCCCCAGATGCTGCCTCTTCCTTAGTTTTGGAGTGTATTTTAGCATCAGGTGGTTAAGTGTATGTTCTACTGCTATTTTGCATAACTTTTCGGCGTAACATTGACGTTATTCGTGTTCCACGGGTGTGAGAAGTGCTGTGCAATATCTGCCTGATATTTGACCTTGTGTGGGTTCAGGAGCCCATTATTCCTGAGCGTGTGTTTGACGACAGTGCTTAAGTGGACACCCCAGTAATGCTTGGTGATTGTGATTTTGGTGGTACGTACAAGTGATAGTGGCGATGGTGCAGGTGACATGCATGAGAATGTTGGTGATGAACTACTTGGTGATGTTGGGGAGCCTAGTGTTGGTGGTTGTGGTGGTGGAGCACCACATGAAGCAGATTGCAGGGGTCAGGAGCGTACCCACCAAGGCCCTATAGAAAAAAAGGCAGGATGTGTGGGCAATGGAGGTTGCCAAGCATAAACGGAATTTTGTGGAGTCAGAGGAGGCGATGGAAGGTCTTCAGTCAGCAACTCCAAACTTACTTACTCCAACATATAAACCAGGTGTGTTAGTGTCTTCTGTATCATAATAATCATGAGTATAGTACATCAGAGGCTGATAGAGATATATGGTACAGTGCCAATAGTATAGTTTTCTCTTATATTTAACATGCTATAGCTACCAAAGTATAGAACGACTTCACCCAAATGAAATTCAAGTAGATTTTTCTACTTTTGTGACTTGATAGAAATCGTTAATTAAACAAGGCATAAATGATTACATCAGTCAGTTCTCTCATCCTTCAGTTTCAATTAAGTATTTGAACAGATAAAAAGATAATAAAGCATTTGTGGCTGGTGTTGCTGGGGGGGGGGGGGCTAGCTACACAACTAAAGCTGCATAGTTGGGGAGTTGGGTAAACTATGGGTCACACTACAGTACAGTACTCTACTGACACAGGCTGAAAAGTGTAATACAGTTGCTCCTCTACTGATGAACGAGTTACGTTCTTGAGGCTTGTTTGTAAGTCCAACTTTACTCCTGTAGATACCAAACATATTGTAAAAAATTAAAAGATTATGTATATTTAGTAGAGCTATACCCTTTAATACAGCCTTAAAACCTGGCTCACTCTTCTCCTCTTAGGTAATGTTTGTTTTACCTGGAATTTTCTTCAGAATAATCCAGTCTCATCCACATTAAACACCTGTTGTGGCAGGTAACCCCCCTCAGTGATGATGTTTGTATCTCTGAAAGTTTGTAAGTTGAACATTCTTAAGTAGAGGAGCACCTGTACTGTAGGTGTAGGGGAGAGTCACTGGATAATGATAAAGATTTCAGCTGTTTGGAAGTGATGATTGTTTAGAATAGTGTGATGGAAAGTGAAACTAGGCTGAGAACAATGGATGAATGGGAAGTATCATTAAAGTAGAAAATGTAAACCTGGTCTTGGGATGGAGCAGAATGTTCTTCACTTCAAGCCACATAGAGTAGATGAGTTATATGAAGTTACCAGAATGGAAGGGGTAAGAAATGTTGAAGGATTTGGAATGGTTGAGAAAGCAAAGGGTGTAAATTGTGCAGTTGTGGAATGGGTTGACTGAGATGGTATGGACTTGTGAGAAGGATCCAAGAGTAAAGATGGTATGGCAGGTGTGTTGGGTAAATGGAGAATGTCTACACCATAGTTGAGAAAGGTGAAACAATATATTAAGGGGAAGGGATAAGGAAGATGTGCTGGGATAGGGCAGCCTGAAGGCTTTTTTGTAAGTTAGCCAGGAACTCTTTGAGGTGGTGAGACATCATTGAAAAGAGGAATGCACAGCATACCCAAATTATTGTAAAGATACAGTGTACAAGACACCTAAGTTAAAAAGATATAAAGATATACAGTTGAGTCTGGTTTTACGGGGTTTTGGTTAGCGCGTTTGGTCATTTACACAGTGCCTTGCCAGAATGAAATGCTTTAATTACGCGGTAAATTTGGTCATTTACGCGGGAAGCAGCGCAGGCAGGGTGCGCACAAGGTCGCCCAGTCATCAAAACATTACCCAGTTTTTCACCCGCCACCCACCACAGCCGGCCCAAGTCAGTGATAGTGAGGATATGGACTTTGAGGGGTTTGACAAGGAGGCCCTGCAAGCCTCTGTAGTGGATAGTGATACAATTGATACGAGTGATACAGGTGAGGGCCAATAATCTGCCCTCTGCCTCGGAACCAACCCCCCCCCTCCCCCCCCTTCCCCGTGTGCCCAGCCATCTCTTCTACTAACGTAAGTGTTAAAAAACCTAATATTATTGATATTTCTCTTTTTTATTAATTGTGTGTGCATACCATCATAAAATTAAGATGTTATTTTGACTACAATGTACAGTACAGTCGGCCCTTAACATACGCGGGTTTATAATACACGGATTTGCAAATACGCAGATTGCCCCGCCGGAGGAATATTCTGTACATTGAAGTAATTGAAGTGCATTCAAATCGCTCGCCATTCAACTCGCGCACGGCACTGAACACGGGACACCGCCCACTCCCGCAACCTCACACACACACGTATAGCTCTCCGTCGCTCAGTCAGTCTCGCTGTAACCACGCTTGTGTTGACATCAGCATTGTAGTTGCAAAAATATTACATTTCTGTGAATGTATTATATCAAGCACAGTATGAATAGAATATCACTAATATAAGAGTATTTTAACCGAAAACTACTAAAAAAACGAGTAACATATCTTGAACATCGGAAGGTTAGGTAAAGTCTTTTGTTTTCATGTAGTTTATCCTAATTTACATTGAAATGCATTACGTTTCAGCAAAACTACTATTTATTTCTGAGAATATGGAAATGTAATATTTTGCTGAAATGACGTACGTATTACAGTGGAAAGTGACGAAAGCAATGACTCGCTTTCTTTCGTTCAAAAGATGTTACCGTAATCGCTTTTCGAATGGTTTTCAGTTAAAAAACTGTTGTATTACAATAATATTTTATCCTAATTCACTTGTGATGCAACAGTTTTTTTAACTGAAAACCATTCGAAAAGCGATTACGGTAACATCTTTTGAACGAAAGAAAGCGAAAGTCATTGTTTTCGTCACTTTCCACTGTAATACGTACGTCATTTCAGCAAAAATATTACATTTCCGTGAATGTAGTATATCAAGCACAGTATGAATATAATATCATTGTAATATAACAGAATTTTAACCGAAAACTATTAAAAAAACTAGTAACATCTCAAGAACATCGGAAGCTTAGGTAAAGTCTTTTGTTTTTGTCATGTATTTTATCCTATTTTACATTGAAATACATCATGTTTCAGCAAAACTACTATTTATTTCCGAGAATATATTCATTCAGGCGCAGTTTAGGTAAAATATACGTGTGATGTAATAGTTTTTTAACTGAAAACAATTCAAAAAACACGTACCCTCTAGCCCTGTTCAAGGAGAGGACTGGGAGAAGCTGTTTGGTGCTGCAGACGATGACAAGGAAAATGATTTTGATGGATTTTAATGAAAATATTCAGAAATATGGTATCGTAGTATTTATTCAAGTCAATTAGGATAGAATATTATTGTAATACAACAGTTTTTTAGGTGTAGTATTGTA